AACTAGGATTTACATTTTCCTCAGACAACTCCATTAATTGATAATAGATGATCTTTAAGGGAATGAAGCTAAAACCTAGCATCAGAGGTCTAATTTTACAGGCAACTGTCATTATGGTACTGGTAGAACATGTTTACTGCTTTATTACATAGCAAAGCAGAACATATGCTTATGCTAAAGGAGATAACAGGCTTCTGAATTGATGTGGCAGTCAAAAAATGATTCATATTTCAGAACTGCAAACTTAGCTCTTTTGGATTACAACTATGTTCTCCTTGAGTTTAAAATACGAGTGCTGCAAACCCATCACAATGTTCAGTAGTGGACCTTGTTACTGCTATTCCCATTCTTTTTGTTTGCTTAAATAATATATAAATTTCAATCGAAAAAAAGAGAAATGAAGGCCCTCTTTATGATCAAGTACAGGATCAACTTTTTCAGTAGTGTTCACTTGCTTCAGTTGTTACCTCTATATCTTTATTTCCAGCTTATTTAATAAAGTTTATATCTGATTTCTGATACCTTCTCAGTGGATGTGGCAGTCTGAGAATTACTAGAGTTCCCTACTACTAAGTTTGTGAATCTAACCACTGAATCAATCCTTACATATTTAAAAGTTTTAATATTCACCAGTGTTCCTTTTGCCATTATACTGTGTAGTACCCTTGTCTATCTCTTGATGTTTTCTGGTTTGAATCAAACATTTTTATTTCATTTGTGCCAGACCTACTAAAATGTGATTAACTGTAAGTAGTAATAAGCTTAAACAATACTGGTTGATCTCTCTACCTCAAGCCTCTTCCCATCTAGACCACAGTCCACTCACCTGTTAAATTCATCTTTCTAAAGTGCCTATTTGATCAAGACAGACAGACAGACAGACACAACTCCAGTTGTTCCACTTATTTCCCATCACCTAAAGCAGGGGTGGGGAACCTGCAGCCTTGAGGCCACATATGGCCCTCTAGGTCCTCAAATTCGGCCTTCTGACTGCACCCAAACTGCACAGAACAAATCCCCTTCATAAAAGGATTTGTTCTGTAAAACTTGGACTCAGTCCCGCACCCAAAGGACCTGGGACACCACATGTGGCCATGAGGTCGAAGGTTCCCCACCCCAACCTAAAGGATCAAATGTAAAGCCCCTTTCGGCATCCAAAGCACTTCACAACCTACCATTCCTCTTTCTTTCCAATCTTTCCGAACCTCCGCTTCCCCCTCCCTTCACACCAAGTACTCTTGGAGAGCAAGTGACACTGGTCTCCTGATTGTTCCTCAAATACGATCCTCAGATTCTAGGTGTTTTCGCTGTTTCCCATACACTGATCATAATTCCTCCTCATCTCTACCTCTTTGCTTCTCTAGCTTCCTTCAAGTCCCAGTTAAAATCTCATCTTCAAAGAGAAGCCTTTCCTGATTCCCCGTAATCCCAGTACCTTCTACTACCTTCAATTTACTAAAACAAATTAAAAGTAGAAATAAGATATACACAGGATAAATATCTCCAACTTATCCTGTATTTTATTTGTACATAGTTGTCATGTTGTCTCCAAGTGAGTTCCGTGACAGCAAGGACTTCCATTACTTAGCATACCTGGCATATAGTAGGTACTTAATACCTTTCAACTGACTGATAAGAGACTAATGGAATTCCCTACTACTGTGTTTCTGTTTCTATGAACCTAATCACCAAATTGTTTAGCATGTATAAATTCAAAATTGTTTAATATTCATTCACTAGTATTCTTTTCACCATTATATAGTACTGGATACCTTGTTTTCTGATTTGAGATTAATTTCATTACTGATACTTTTATTCTAAAATTGAATTAGATATTTTGTGATAAAATAAGTGGTAACAAGTATAAGTATAAACACTAATACTGTTGTTGAAATCTTATCAGTATGCCATCAAATGACAGCCCTGACCATTTAGGAGGTTCTTTACAGTTGTGGGCGTCTGTTGATTAAGCCATTAAGGGTTTGTTTATTTACAAATAACAGTATATTCCAAGTCTGTAAGGGGGCGGGGGGGGGGGGGGTTAAGTTTGCATATTTGATATCTATTTTGGTCCAACTTTGTTATCTTTCCTTTTATAGCTGAAAAATTACAATCTAATTGTTTTTAATAGGTAATTGCTTTTGCAGTTTTGAAGTTTGCTAATTATATGAATTGAACTCTATTTTGGATTTCTCTACTGAGATGAATCTTTTAACTTACTTTCAACTTGTGAATTGTTTCCTTTTTTGTGTGCACTCCAGAAAACTTTTCCGAATTAGTTCTTTAAATATTTATATTTTGTTGTCAACAAAATTCAAAATCATTATTAAAGGTTTAAACTTCTTGGGGGCAACTAGGTGGCACAGTGGATAGGGCACTGGCCCTGAAGTCAGTAGAACCCAAGTTCTAATCTGGCCTCAGACACTTAATACTTACTAGCTGTGTGACCCTGGGTGTCACTTAACCCTCATTACCTCACCTCCCCCCAAAAAAGGTTTAAACTTCTTGATCTATTTTTATAAGCTTGTTACTTTGCCTACAAAGGCCTTTTTAAGTTGTATTCTAAAATTACTCAATTTCCATTCTTCTGATTTTTTACTAATTTAGTGGCACTTTGCTGCTTCCCATTGATGATTTCCTTCTGTAGTGTCGCTTCCCATTGTTTCATATTCTTTGAATTTGATATTACCCAATTTATTCATACTTGCTTCACTTCTAACATGGTTTCAGCATTTATAGCTGTATTTTTTCCTTTGGTTCTTTCAAATAGTAAAATTGTATTAGTTTTTCTTTGTTCATCCTTTGGATGCTTTATTTTCTCTTGTTCTGATGGATTTTTGTTCTCTTTTCCAACTTAAAAAGTTTTGCACAGAGACGCCAAGATTACTGACAATTTAAGTCTGCCATTTCTGTAGAAGCAAAGATGACCACTAGTGTAGTGTCACTTCTAAACAGAGAAGGTTGCAGAAATTTCTGGGAGATGATACTTAAGGTGTGTTTTATTGCTGACCATTCCTTTGCTGTTTCATCACTTACCCTACCCTTAACTTACTAGGGCAATTCAAAGTGGAAAGGCTGTTTTTCCCATGTGCTCAGTGAGCTAAGACCTCAATGTACTGCCCTATTTTTTAATCACATCACCAGTTTGCTGTAATTTGGTCTAAGGATGGCAGCATCAGCAGTAGCCTAGGTTGGAACAAAAGGTCGGACTAGGCTAAGGGCACTGGCTGTAGGGGTGAGCTGATTTGGAGAACAGAAGCAATAGGTCTACTCTTCTTAAAGATTTCTAAACTGTAATTTGCCTTCCCCCTGTCACTTCCCAGCATTTTTCTACTATTAAGATATTAGTAGGGAAAAAAAAGATATTAGTAGGGCTGGTTTCCTTGCTTTTTAACTTCCACATATTACCGTTAAGTCCTTAATTTAGTAAGCCTTTATTTCACAAAGATGTAAAGCCTGTTTATGATATATAAACCACAGGTAAACAATACCTTTAATCCAAGGAAATAAATGTGTTTTATATATACATCAATGAACTATTAAATCCTTAAATTTAGAACTACTTCATCAGGTCCTGAATGATATCCACTATATACTAACTCACAATAAAGGTTAAAAATACACCTTCTGATATGAGGGCTACAGCTAAATGCTGGAGTAACCATTTATACCCAAGTTTTAAAACCATGTTCAGTGCCACTGAACAAAACATCAACAGGTGACATACATGAATTAGCAAGCAATGAATTAATGTAAAGAAAGCTGGTAGTTAACCAACCTAACAAAGGACAAATCTTTCAGTAATGGCAGGAGTTTGAGGTTGGGGGGTGGGGGTTCTACCACCAGGGGAATCTCCTTAATTCCTACGGTTATCCACAGAATCATATCCTTGCAACCAGGTGAATTTAATCCTTACAACACTTCATATGAAATAATTTATAACACAAATTTCAGTGAGTAAGCAGTAGACTGATCAAGTGACAATTATCTGTTAAAATGAGGGAGAAAAAATAACCCCTATCAACAAATATCTAAAATAAAAGACTTGAGAAAACTTCTTTCTTCTCCATCAAAATAATCTTTCAGTGATTACACTATATGGAAGGTTAAATATAACTTCTTCCTAAACTTTGATCTCTGTTCGTGGAACCTGTGACATGCAGCAGACAGATGGATATCACTACAATGGCATGTTCACTTCTCCCTCTATACCTTTAGTTGCACAGTTCTCCATATATAATCCTTTCCAACGATCTCCCCTTCCCACCAAGGCAATGAATACCCATACTTAAGGTTCAGCTCAGTAACCATTCTCCATGACACAGGCCCACTCATAATGATCTCTCACTCCTCTGAATTCACAGCATTTTAAAATGTGTACCATTCATATAGCACTTATAAAAGGCCATATAACATCTCTTGCACTATTCTACATTTAATTTGTGTATGTCTCTTTTCTCATTTTTGAGTATTACATTTATAGAAACAATTTTGTTTTTTAAAGCTAATATTAAAAAAAATAGGGTTTTGTTTCATTTTTAGTCAAATTTGTCGGCCACGTAAAAATACAACGGCACATTCTTCCACTGTATTTCCAATATCCACAGAAGGGTTTCAGAACTTTAAATATTAAATGACTATTATCGAGAGAATATTGATAGCTTATTTTGTTAATTAACCTAGAATGAGAAAGACTTGAATATAAATCTCAAGCCAGGATCATATGGAATACTGAAGAAAAAGCTTTTAATGGGAACTTTAGTTTAAAAAACAAGTTATTTCCAGGAAATAACATTTATAAAAATCAGGACCCAAACCTATTTAGAATAAATTTAATTCTATTCATATATTTGTATAATACCCCTTTTAAACAAAGGAGCATAAATGTATATAGCATTCTATATAAAATAAATGAAAAAAAAGGACCCTTTAAATCATTTCTTAAGAAAAATAAAATTGATTTTTTTATGTATCAACAATGAATTACTTGAAGGCATGGATGTAAATTTGTGTGCAACACAAGGGACAAAGCAAGTAACATGATTTTATTATCTCTCCAACTATTAAGAACATTTTAAAAAGACATCAGAAAGATAGTAAGAGATCACACTCTCAATGCTACATGGATTTTAGGAAAATTAGAACGGAGTAGCTTATGTCTGTAAAAAACAAAGGGCCAAAATAAGATCCATGATTAAAAGTCAAAAAAGATTAATAAGGAGAATACAAAACCATAGAGAAGAGCTTACTTTAACTATATACAGTCATATGGCTAACTGAGAGGTTATAGCAACTGTATTAGAACATGGCAATTCAGATTTATATTAAACATTTATTCTCTTCCTTCTGTACATTTTATAAATCCACATTAGTACAAGAACATAAAATAAATGACACTGGCTTTCAAGTCTAACAAGTAAATGCATAAGCCTGTTTTCAAATATATCTTTGCTATTATGGTTTTTGACTCAAGTAGAACTCAAGATTCTACTATTGTGAGCACCTTCAATGACAGCTGTTATTGGGCAGGGGACTCTTCAATTACACCTCTTCCAGACTCCTTTTGAGAACTTCCTGCAATTCCACATCTGTATAAAAAGATTAGAATTGCAAAGTTAGGGGTTGGAAACAAACACATATGCTTTATGTCAGTATAAGTCAGCAGGATGATGATTATGTTTTCAATATCACAGTATACAAAATCTTGTTAATCCTTGCAAGTAGAGGAAAAAAAATAAGTGGAGTAGGGAGAATGGGTGAAGGGAGGGTAAGGGTATAAGAGCCTGAGGAGAAATAATATAGTATTTTATTAATCATAATATTCACATGGCACTTTGAAATATGGTAATTTAGAGATCATAACCTATAAATTCATGATGATTTAAACTGCTCCACTTTTACAGATGGTTATATTCTTCTTCAACTGGGGGTACTTTAGACCTAGGGATATGTATAAAGACAACATGGCAAATTATTATTTAGGACTACAGTGGTGTTTTCATAGCTACATAATGGCCTCAGCATTTAAAGATTTAGTACTTGACACTATACAAAGAAAATAGGACAAAAATCATAACTTCATTTAGAATGAAGAGACTCTCATTTCAACAAACATTTATGAAAATAAGGGCCCATTGTGTCTAAAGTGCTAGACATGTAACTCAAATTTGATATTTATAGGGAAGACTGCTGAAATGGCCTTTAAGGAAGAAGATTCTGTGTTTTGCTTTTTGGTAGTAGGAAAAAATAATGGACAGAACATCAGGAGTCCTAGACCTAGGCTCTGTCACAAACTTTGGCAAATCTGACAAGTCATTACCCTCCCTGAGCCTCAGATTCCCTCACTGTTAACATAAAAGGATATGGCTAAATAGTATATCTTTTAAGGTTTCTATACAGGTGAAGAATTTCTCCTGCTTGGATGGTAGCAATGTTATCCATTAAAGTCCTTCTCCAATGCCTCAGTCATGGCATGAAGGTGACTTAGGGTTCTCAAAAGCTTTGCCAGTTGAGCACAAGCTATGGCACACATCCTGCCAAGCTGGAAAATACTGGCAACGGACTGTGTACTTGTTGGCCAAGGAACATTCTAAGTTCAGAAATGTTCATCACCATGAGGGTGGCCACCAGGTGATGAATTTGATTGGCCACAGCAACTCATGAAGACCATCCAGAGGCCTGAAAGCATTGCAATCAGTGTTGGTGAAGGGAATGCCTACACCAAAGAAGTCACAAATCTTTGAAGTCAGAAAAGCACATGACTAACTGCAGAAATGGCAGATAAGTAACACATATATACACACATATATGTATATACATGCTTTCAAGCTGCATCCCTGCAATAAAGTAAATAAAACTGTATCTGATGCCGGCAATGTGCTGTCCTAGAGTGGCTGGGCCAGTGATACTTGGCCCAGTCTAGAGCCGGTGGAAACTGCTGTACCAGGAAGCCTAGCACTCCTCCTGCTACCAATGATCCCTTCCGGGAAGCAGGGTGGAGGGGTGAAATGGCCATTGGCTGAGCTAAACCAGCACACCTGGAGGTCCTGTGAGAAGGGTTCACTGGTCTCCAGCAGCATAAAGCATTACTGAGGGCCAGCAACCCAAATGATTTGCTGCAATTTTTATCAATCAAAAAACACCAATTTAAGAAATAATGATAACCTGTTGGCAAACATACTATCATCACTACTGGTACTTGGTAGTTTTATGATCTAGTCATGCTGAATAACCTACTCAAACGGAATAAAATGGAATGTAACTGATATGTTTTGGGACAAAGTCATCATAAATCTGATAAAGACTGCAAATAAGCTAACCCTTATTAAGCTAAAGTTTTTTTTTAATTGTACTACATATATCTAAAGAACCATCCATAGAAGCTGGTCCTATAGTTTTAAGTAGGAATTATTTTTCACATTAATTAACACATTAAAAGATGACTTAATAATGATGATGATGATGATTTAGCATCACTACAGAATACACTTTTTGTGCTTGTTTTTTCATATATTTATAGTCCTGCCTGTGACTTGAGGCACAAATTTTCAAAATGATTAACCTGGATTACCCATGTAATTTATTATCAATAAATAGTGAAGCTATTTAGTCTATGGAGGGAATCAAATTTACTATAGCTTGGAAGCATTAGCATTGTAAAATAAACATTAAGTGAAAACATTTGCAAAACAACTGGGAGTTTGGTACTAGAGTTGGTATAATAAAGTCACATAAACACAGGGTTTCCATCTCCATTGTTATATAACTCAAGAACAGGTTATAAAGATTTTGTGCAAATTCCAATAGTACAATTTTTTTTTTGTAAACTTAATAGCCATCAAGAACAGTCTAAAATATAAAGAAACAGATTAAATAACTGGAAATATAATAAATGACCAACCCACATCAAAATCCCAAGTTTTACCTGGCCATTTGATTCTGTATTTCACAGCTAAAGAGAACTTGAGTAAATGAGAAAAAACAATTAGCACATTCATAAATTAGGGTCATGTCAATTCAATTCATTTCAATTCCATAAAAAAGTACATAATCAGCACCTACTGTATATTATATGTATGTGTATATGTGTGTATACATATGTATATATGAATATACACACAACACTATAGGAAAAAGCATGTAACTCAGACTCTGCTCTAAAGGAGCTTACACTCTAGTTAGGGAGAAGGAACATAAACATTTGAAATGTTTAAATTACAATATAAAAAATGAACAGTCCTTTCCAAACATACATGACTTGTTGCTATCATTTCTTCCTTCTTCACAATTTCATTGCTTTTGGCCAAAGGCAATATTAGAAGACTAATAGCAAACAACAAATACAACGTGAAAACATTTAAAATTATGAAACTAAACAAAATTAGCATTTTTGAGCATAGTGGTAAGTAACACTTTAAAGTTGACAAACACTTCACACCAAAATACCATGTTTTCTTAATTGTGGTATCTAATAAAGCTTTAAGCCTGATGCTTGAGGCACCTAACAAAAAAGGGACCCTACAATTATTCATGTATTCAAAGACGGTAAGTAACTTACCTTTCTCACAGTATTATTTTAGAGTGGGTCCTTGTTAAAAATATACCCAATAAAATATTGGAATAATAAAAGGTAATGTGGAATGTCCTCTTGCTCTGTGGTTCCACAGACACAAATTAGATGGCATGGATGGGGGAGAAGGAAGTCGGAGAGACATACAGAAATGCATCTATCTTTGAGTGTGGTAATAGGCATTTTTTAGAAATAAATGTTCATAGAGGCAGCAATTAGACAGTAGGAAGGATAAGAATGACCAGATAAAGTGTTCTGTTAAAATCAATCACTTTTTAATTATACTATAAGGCTAGGAAAAGTTTCTATTCAAATAACCAGACCACTGAACATGGTATTTTGACTGAACATTGTAAAAATAGGTTATTTCAGAAATGAAAGGCTCATATAGAGCTCTCATTTCAAAAAACAGAAAAAGATCCCCAGAGAGAAAAAATATCTTAACTCAAAGTCAAAGAGCTGATGAGTTAGGATTAGAACCCATGTCTCTTGATTTTCTGTCCAAAAATACTTTGGTTTGTTGGTTTTTGAACTAGACCTAAGATTACATTGCTGCGGGGCATTCCCTCTACCAGTGAAGACTAGCAACTGTTACGCAACTTCCAGACTTGGAGAGTCGCCTGGAGCACCAAGAGGTTTTTAAAAGACTTGCCTAGTAGGGTATCCAAAGCCAGTAAAAGTATATGTCAGAGGTAAAACTTGAATCTAGAACTTCCTAACTTCCAAGATGGCTTTTTATCCACTACACACCACAGCCTTTCTTGCACACTTTCTACTTTACCATATATCTTGAAGTCACAAAAATTAATCCTGCCTAGGAACCTGTGAATTTGAAGGATTTCAGGAAAGTTGAGGCAGTATGATGAATTAGATTTCCCTTGAGGACCAACTGGTAAGACTATAAGAATTAGTTTTTGTTAAGTATTTCACAAAATCACAAATTCTGAGTTAGATGGTAACCAAGAAGTCATCAAATCCAGTCTATACTAGCATAGCAACCCCTTTTGAAAATCTTGACATGTCTCTGCTGAAAACTTTCTAATCAGGGTAACGGATGGAAAAGAGTTGGGGTGGGAGGGTGGGGGTGGTCAAACTACTGCCTTTATGAGGTAGCCTATTCCATTCTTAGCTCTAATTTTTAGGAAGTTTTTCATGGTATTTAGAGGTGAAATTCTCTCCCCAATTTCTACTCATTGGTCCTAGTTCTGTCCCATGGGTCTGTAGCAAAACAAATCTAATCCTCTTTTTTCTACCTGACAGGTCTTCAAATAAATTTAAGGTAACAATCAAGTTCCCTCTAAGTCTTCTCCATGCTACCTATCCCCGCTTCCTTCAATCAATCCTTGCATGGCATCATCTTCGGTACCACTCCATGCCTTCTCACTGGCTGCCTCTCTGGACCTGAATCAGATGTGAGCTAAGGAAGAACAAAGTGAAACTACTGCCTCCTTTGTTCTTGATGCTAACTCTATTGATGCTATTTAAAATCACACTAATTTTTTCAACTCTGTGTCCCGCTTATTCTATGAACAAGGAGCTTATAGCCTAATAAAAGTCTCAGATCCCTCAAACAAATCATATTCTGTCAACACCACCCTCAAGTGCTTTGTAAATGGAAAGAGCAGAATATTACATATATTCCCTGTTAATTCTGAACAACAAAGGACCAAGGAAAAGATACCTTGGTCCCTCCCTATTTAGTTAACTGATTTGTTTCTAGACTATGCTGCCTCCCCTCCAGCCTTGTTCCTCAACTCTCTCCCTCTGGAACCTGGATTCTGCTCCCGAGGTCCCTGAATATGTGAGTTTTGTGTCAATTCCTGATCATTTCCAAAATATGCCCCTCTCTCCAACCCTTTTATGAGACATCTTCCCTCCCACTCCCTTAGAATGTAACTCCTTGAGGGTAGAGACTGTTTTGTTTGTATTTCTACCTACAATGCTTAGCACAGTATCAGGAATGTAAAAAGTTTTAGCAGATACAGCACTGGGCCTAAAGGCAGGAACACCTTTGTTCAAATTTCACCTCAGACACTTTCTAGTTGTGTGACCCCAGTCAAGTCACTTAATCTGTTTATGTCAGTTTCCTCAACTGTAAAAATGAGAATTATAACAGCACCTATCTTGAAAGTTGTTGAGAAGATCAAGTGAGATAGTATTTGTAAAGTGCTTAACACAGTGCGTAACACAAAGTAGAAGCGATGGAAATGTAAATGCTTATTCCTTCCCCTTATTACTTAGTCTTTGGGTCCGGTCATGCCACTAGTTCTAAATCCATCTATCTGTATTATCATTGTAATCTATACGTCCTCTTCTTATTCACAAAGATTGCATGAGAGTCACTATGAAATGTTTAGCCTGAAATCTAAATAAACGATATCTATATAGCATTTCTTCAATCCACTGCCTAATAATATGTAAAGGAATCATCAAGTTAATCTGGCTAAATCTGTTGTTGATGAAGCCATGTCAGTTTTTGTTGCTTTGATTTTAGACATGGCCATGAACTGTAACTGAAAGGATTCTAGTTTCAGCCCATATTAGACAACAGTGATGCTGGGGAGAAGGAATTTCCAAATTTGCATTTTATACACTGTCTTAGCTCTATATTTTTTTTCAACCACTGCATTTAGGCCACTACTTTACTAAGTAAGATCACTAGAGCTGAAGGAACCTTAGAGTGCACTTAGTCCAACCTCTCTCATTTTACAGTATAGAACTGAGAGCAAAAAGGCTTTAAGTGACTTGTCCAGGGTTACCTAGCTAATAAGCGTCTCTAAGGTAGGATCTGAACCTAAGGCTTTTTGACTCCAAGTCCAACACTGTAATACTATATCATATTACTTCTAGAGTTTTAGTAGAAGAGCAGGTGGCCACTTTTTATACAATAGAACTTCAATAGAGTTTTAGGCCTTTAATAAATTTTTGATAGATGATTTTTAGGTATATTTCATTTAAAAAGACACCTAGATATTGAAATGTTATTCATTTCAGAAGTCATTAGTTACTACTAAACACCATTCGTTGGCTACATATTTGTAGTAAGTTTAGTATCAGCTGTGTGATCTTATGTAAGTCTTCTGTAAGCCTCTGTGTCTATGGGGATAATGAAATCTGAATTACCTCTCAAGAGGATCATTTGTGGGAAAAAGTGCTTTATAAAAATGAAATATCTGGGGCAGCTAGATGGCATAGTGGATAGAGCACCAGTGTTGGAGTCAGGAGGACCTGAGTTCAAATCCGGCTTCAGACACTTGATACTAGCTGTGAGATCCTGGGCAAGTCACTTAGCCCCAACTGCCTCAAAAACAAAACAAAATGAAACAAAACACCAAAATATCATATATGCGTATGCTACAATTTCTTTGGAAGGTGAGGATATTAACTTTAATGGATTCTTCTTTGCAATAAGCACAAAAAGTTTAAATATTAATCATAAAAAGCAAGTCAATCTCCCTCTCTGGGACTCACTTTCCCCCTGTAAAATAGATGGCCTAAATGATCAGGCCCTTAAAGTTCGAAAGCCTATGAACTTGCTTAGCAGAAATAAATAAATATGCTTAGATTTTACAATATCCTTTTATTCTTCAGACTCACTCAATATTTTAAAAAGAAAACAGAAGTAATTCAAAGCATAGGTTCTTACTTAAGGTTACTATGCTTTAAGACAGAATTATAAATATAATCTTGATTAATGAACATACTAAATAAACTTCCATCCCCTTTTATGGCCATTAAGCTCTGATAAGTCTTAACCCAAAGATGTTAAAAAAAAATTTAATATGTGGATTATAAATAAATCCAAAAGTGAATGAATATGCATTTTAATAAATTCTAGTATAAAGTAAAAATTTGCTCTTTCCTATAATTTTCTCTTCTAGCCATTCAAATGAGATGAAATGTCAAATATTCCAAATTTAAGTGGGGTAAACTAGGGTCATTCAACATGTGAAAAAGTGATTTTATATCAACCTGAGTCATCGTTTTGTCTGGTTATTCTGTATACATAAAAAGAGGTTAATTTCTTTAAACTTAAAGTTATTTGGGAAATATGATTATTTTCTTTTTTTGTTTGTTCTTTTGTTTTTGGCAAGACAAATGGGGTTAAGTGACTTGCCCAGGGTCACCCAGCTATTAAATGTCAAGTGTGGGGTCTGACACCACATTTGAACTCAGGGCCTCCTGACTCCAAGGCCGGTGCTCTGTCCACTGCGCCACCTAGCTGCCCTGATTATTTTCTTTACAAAAAATTACATATCACATGCATTTTTCCTACTTTTTAAAACAAGAAGATAATAGAGAAATATGTTTGTCTTTTTTGGTTTCCTTGTCCACATAAGTTTCAGTTAATTTCATTGTTTGTTAAAAGTTTAAAAAGCAGTATTTTTTCTTGAATCACTACATCTCAAAATAAACGCTCTTCTCACTTTCAAAAGTAAAAGGTCTAGAAATGTTACAAAATATGTTACTATAGAAGTGAAAACCTATTTTTAAGCTAAGAAAAATTTAAATCCTTAAACTATAACTTTAATATGGATAAGGAAATACTAAGTATTATTATATATAAGATGATTTCCTTGAGTTCCTGCCTAAGCTCAAACTCTAAAACAGGGTAGTAGGGGAGGACTGGGAAAGTGTATAGGGTGTAGTCACTTTAAATGACCAGTTACCCAAACATTTTCAATGAGGTGAGTCACAAACTGGCGTAACGAGAGCTTGCTAAGTCTGAATTTCTTGGATATTTAATCATCTCCATTTTTTATTAGTTTTTTTAATGAGTAACAACTTTGTCAGCTGCTTTTGTTTTAATTTCAAAATTTGTCTCCTTTGTTTTAATCCAATATTATGTGGCTGTTAAGCACTGGCTTGGACCTTATCTGATCATGCTGGAATAGAGACTAGTCTTAAAAAAACAAACAAACCAAAACTGTCTTTAGGTTATAAATTATCTGACCAATTTAGTCAGCCACAGTAGACATCAATAATAAAAGATGAGTTTAAGTTTTCTACTTCATTAAATACATTCTACTGCTATAATCAACCTCCCGATAGCACAAAGCCTTAGTATGTCTTGGTCAATGCTCTTCACTCCAAAAGCAACTACTGTCAATGTTGACTATACTTTTGGACCCACATTAACTGCCTTCATATAATAGATTGTGGCAAGTTCTAGGCACTTTGACATATGAGAATTAAAATGTATGTTTTTTAAAAACTCTGCATAAATAAGATATAGGTATGGATTTTGGCAAATGAGGCATAAATAAGGTTAACCATCTTAACAGTTAAGGGAGCGGGGAAGGGGAAGGCAGGAAGAAAGAGACTTGGACCTGAAGTTTCCATGGTATAGGGAACTCCTAATGAGGTAAACACCTCTATGAATGCTTAATGCCAACAATTTATAATGCTACAAAGTTACAGGGGGCACTGAAAGTTGAAGTGACTTGCTCAAGGTCACACAGCCAGAATGAGTCAAAAGACTTGAACTCATGTCTTCCTGACTCCAATGTTACCTCTCTAAAGACATTTAATGTTAATATAGTGGGAAAGATAACAATACGTGCACTACCTACCTAATGGGGTTACTATGAGGAAAGCATTTTGAAAATATTAAAGGGCTTTATCTAAATATGAATTACGTTATTGTTGTTGCTCTTTATACTTGATTATAATACTAAATATACTTCAAGGATCCATGACTTTATCTCCATGGGTGATTCCTCCACCAATGCAAACTGCAATGTCACCACACATCAACAGGAAGTTCAAAGTAGTTGTTGTGGTCAAAATAAATTGATCACTTGGTGCCAACCCTCTAGTGATTCTCACTTCTCAAAAATTAGCTAAGACGATAACTGGATGACAATCTGTTATCAAACTTTACTCAAAGCTTCTCTGGCTTGACAGGACCTGCCAGAGTTTGGACTACGTTGGCATATCCTTTGAGAATCTAGAGGCATTTCCACACCATGATGAGGAATGTGGTAAAAGAAAAAACACCTCTAGGAGATAAAAGTTTATTTGGTATAACTGATCTATTAATTACTCATGTAAAAGTACATCCTTGTCTAATCCCATTACAAAGTTTTTGAGGATAATAGTTCCTTATTAAATGAGTAAATTACTTTGAATTTTTCAGATGAAAATCTGAATAAGTAAAAAACAGACATTTCTATTTTAACATTAAGTAGAAAAGGAAATGTTTTAGGGATCTAGAATGTTGATTAAAAAAACAAAGAGCCAAAAACTTGGGTAAGAGTCTTAGATTTGCCACCAATTTGCTGTGTGCTTCTGGAAAAGTCAGTTTCTCTCTCTATGACTGTTTTCTTATCTATAAAAATAGGAATAATACAAGTGCCTTAGCTATACTTCACAGTGCTTTGTGACTAAAAGCAAACAAATCACACAACCAAAAAACAGATAACATCTCTGTGAAACTGTTTTATAAACCATAAAGCTATAGATAAGTGCAAACATAAATGGTGTAAGAATTTGATATCTATTATAAAAATTTTTGCCAAAATCCCAATCTGCATATTTCTGCTAGGGTATTAATATTACTTTTTAATAGAAGAAGACTATTTTTTGAGCATTGATATTTGTACACCATCACAAATCAAAGTTATACAAATAATTACAATCAAGTGGTCCTTCAGGTCTGTGATACAAAGTGGCTTTATCAAGTCTTTTATTTTCCTTAAAAATATTTGCTAATATTCTGCAAGTCTACCTAAATTAACTATATGCTCCACAGAGCTGTGTTTTCATTTCATCGGAATAAATAAAGGGAAAACTCAGTGATTAGGTTACCTTCTCTGGACTTGATTTCCTCTTCTTGCATAGTATTTCTGCTTGTTCTCGTTCGATCATTTTCGCTACTGTCACTGTCTGTAAAGCAGCAATATGTCAATAAATGTAAATTAACTTGTTAAACTAATTATTCCATTTCATTGCTGTTTTCAATGGTCTTGATTATATCTAATTTTACTACAGTGTCAGAAGTTTAGTAATTTTCCTCTCTATCCCCCTACCCAAACAAATATTTCAATACGAGAAGTACCATTTTCACTAAGAAATATCAGATTAACTCTATAAATCTTAGGTTCTTCAGAGTAATACTACCAGTAACTCAATTTTATGTGCTTCCTTTAAGATATATATCCTATATTTAAAACGGGGTCTTCCACTTAAAGACCTTTTCTAATGCCTTAACATAATTTGACGGTTGACCCTTTGTTTCTGAAAATTTATACTAAGCAAAAGTTCTGGCTGGTCTTGCCAAGTTAGAAAGGCTTTTAATAGAGGCCCAATAATGGATTAACCCTATTAACCAAAGTGCACACTGCCCAAGTTTGAAAAGGCTTATCATCAGAAAAATTGTCCACTAAGTGATTACGATATTTGGTTACAACAATTCTCAAAGACTATAGAATAGTGTCAAGTGGCTGTGACTTTGCGTTAATGGAGAGTTACTAACATTGATGCATTTGTGGAATCTTGTACTGAAATAACTGGTAAGAAACATATACTTGGACACTGAGTTAAATGCAAGCACTAAATAAAAACAGAATTATAGCTTTTAGAAAAACCCAGAAACATGAAAGAAAAACCTAGAAAACATGAAAGTTTACTAAGACAACTAAATGTGAAAATCTTTGGTATCTACCTTTAGATACTGGCTGAATTAAAATTTAAAGACTTTAAAAGATCAGTGATTTTATTGCTATGGCTTATTCTCTTTCCTCCAATGAAATCACAAGCCTTACATACTTTAGCAAACTGTTTCATGAATTGTATTGGACATAAAAATATAGATATCACATGATGGGCCTTGCTAGTATATTCCTTAGATGACAATCTGTTGTTTAGAATCAAAATCTTTCCAATTTGAAAGAACTTCTTACAGAGGTTGTGCATTTTGGTGCCCTAGTCTTTGCTGTATTTATAAAGCATCAGAGTAGAAAACAGTAACACAAGCCACAGCAACACAAATACCACAAAGTTCGAGATTTTATGCAGACCATGAAGTTACTCAAGATAGGACACACCAAGTTATCTGTTTCTGAAAGAGAATTTAGAATTACAGTAAAACTTTTTAAAATTCAACATCGATAATTCTGAATGAGTGTTAAAAAGACTACAAGGTAAATCCTTTACTTTAGAACTGAAAGGTAAACTTGTTTTTTTATAGAGTCCATAGCTGAGGTTTAAAATAACAAAAATGCCTTCCCCAAATAAGTCTAAAATAATGAGGCTATACTTTACAAATTAGATCTGTTCCTGTGCCAATTTTTCCTGTACTCCTCAATGAGGGAAAATACTGAAAATACTTAAATATATGGAAAAGGTTAACTGAAAGATTTAAATGAACAAAACGGCACAGCAAAGGAGCAAAGGCTACTTGGCACAGGAATCAGCACACCTAGGTTCTAAGTCTTGGGTGTGCCAAAACTAGTTGTGCAAGCTTAGGGAAGTTCCTTCCCCTTTCCAAGCTTCAGTTTCTTCATTTAAGTGGTTTTGGATCTGTTAAGGTCCCTTTCTGGTTCTCAAGTTCTATGATTCCAAAAAGTGACTGAAAAGTTTAAATGAAGAAAATGGAATTATCTGATATCTCCAAGTAACCAAGGATGGTAAATGGTACAGCAGTGCCTCTTCCCTTCTAGAAGCTTTATGTGATCATCTATATTCATTATCACAATTCCCCAGAAGATGGAAATAGCTATCAAAACTAAAGTCTATGAGAAACAGATGCTGAAACAAAATTCTAAAGGTGTTAACTTCCAATTTCAATGAAGTAGGTTTAAAATTTTCCTCAGAGTTGCCGTGAAAGGCAGATCTTTCTTTAAAAAAAAAAACTGAATTAGAAATTATTGTTGCAAAAAGTGCTTAATAGAGTTATGGGCTCATTATTCCATGTTCCAACTTCTGGTATAGTTTTTCAGATGTGACATAATTTTGGCTAATGTGACTGTTAACAATTGTTAATAAAAAAAATGATTTTTTTTAAAAGTTGAAATACTATTTTGCTTTTCCTTGGCCATATAACATGTATATAAACAATGACAGAGAAATCTATAAAATCTATAGTTCTTCAGCCAGCTTACTATCTCGTGATTATATCTATTCAAACTTTTTCACTAGCAGGAAATTTATGTACTTACATTTGTCCATAGCTCTGGAATAAAGGTACATATCTTGTACATAGGAATCGCTGCTACCTAAAACCTCAGCTAAAACTATATCCCTTTAAATTAATGTTATAGGGAATAAACAGAAGAGTAAGATCCTCTTAAATACCTGGTACTAAAGAATTCAAGTAATAGTATGATTCCTTTTTAAGAGAAAGTAAATGTAGCTTTCAAATGTATCTAAGCTATGACAAAGATGATACTTTGATTAAAGTTGCTGTCAAGATGATACATTTTGACCTCATCTGAGATCGAAAAAGATACTGATCCAAACATATCAAATGTTCAAGAGCAACAATGGGAAATTATTACTTAATAGTTAACATCTTTAGGTATGCCTGTATCTAAATTATCAGCAGTTTGGAGTTTTTCAAACAAGTTATCAGATGATATACACTAAATATAACATAGTGATGTTTCTTCAGCAAGTATCATTAATAACATATTGACACAAACTCTTTGTATTGCCATTATGTGATAACTTCATTGCTTTCAAAGGCCAAAAAAATAAGCACAATGATGTGCTCCGTGTGCCAAAGGCACATGAATATCCTCAAAGAGACTGTTAAGCTGGGGAGGGCGAAAGGAAGGACGAGATAACTGACACTCCCCTAGACACAAGAGAATCACATTTTAGAGGTCATTTAGTACAAGGGACAGTTACCAGGAGATACCAATAGCCCTTTTCCTTAGAGCCCCCTTATCTTCATATCTTGGCTACTGATATTCCTATAGTATCCCATCCAGCACTCAATCAATTCAGGCCACACATTACTGAAATGCATGGGATCATATCCCATTCACATTCTTTAAAAGTGCTCAGTACAACTGAGATAGGCATGGATGAGGTGGTAGACATAAAATAAAGGCATACACTTTTCCATCTTTAACAGAGCAGAAAACAGGCAACAGTTGAAAATCAGTAACAAGGATGAAAAAAAAAGGCAAAGAAAAGTCAAAATAAATTCAAAGAAGAAAAAAACAAGAGTAGGCAGGTAAACAAGTACATTGGGGGGAAATACATATTAGAAAGAATAAAAGTTGTAAAATAAAATGTAAAAAGAATATAAATATAGTAGAATAAATATGGTTAATCTCCTGTTACGACCATTCTTTTTGTGTTCAGGCTTGGGACAATAAAACCTTTGAAATGATCACATTTAAAAAGTCATTATTAGTCCAGAAAAAACTAAGTGGAGCAGTGAACACATTTAATCTCTTAGGATTTAACTCCTTGATTCAAATAGCAAATATATTGTGTACTCCCCCTTTTCTTCTATTTTTTTTTTTTCCAATTTCTTTTAAGAAACATTAGAGACTTTCAAGTGATCTTTAGGCTTAGATTTTTTTCTTTAAACACGATGTGGAGAAGGGGCAACATAGCATAATTAACAAATGCTTTCACATGTCATATACTCTTTTTAAAAAATTAAGATGAGGTTGCTGGTCTTCAACAAGCTTATAATAAATCAGAGAGCTGAACATACATGTACAAATGTCTCCTACATATACTCAGACCACTCATGCTTGTCAAGAGTAAGTGAATCACTTCTTCTATATTGTTTGTTATCTACTGTTTAGAAAACTGTAATTTTTTTTTCTCCAAATAATTTTCAAATGGAACTATGAAATACAACTGAAATTTCGTATCTACGAGATTGCATTCATAGGATCCAATCTATCATCACACAATAAATATGAATTGTTATACCACATGGCAGACTCAAGAAAATTACAGTAAATCAACCTTTTTTTTTTTTTTAAAGGCAATTGGGGTTAAGTGACTTGCCCAGGGTCACACAGCTAGTAAGTGTAAAGTATTTAGTCTGAGGCCAGATTTGAACTCAGGTCCTCCTGACTTCAAGGCCAGTGTTCTATCCACTGCACCACCTAGCTGCTCCAATTCTCCTTCTATATGTCTGCCAATGAGAGGGGGAAAAAAGATGCAAATCAAATATGATTATGACATTTAGTAACTGGGGAAACAGTTTCCTTGTGGACAGCCATTTATTGGTTTCTTTCAGCAATGAAGTCTCCTCTTTGGCATTCTGTATGGTATCTCCAGCTGCGTACCTTTGGTGGTATCAGATATACTATTTAATAAGGCACACATCATATCCCCCTCTAAGTGATGAGGGTTTAGGATGTGGGCTGGCCTCTGAGTCTTCTTAAATTGATTCTGTAGCTCCAGAAAACCTTGATCTCCTGAGAGAATAGTGAAAGGAATTTGCTTAGGTAGCTGTTCATCTAGACGGCCAGCCTGGAGAACAAAATACAAAAGTTGGGAAAATAAAAGACATATACTAAGTTACATAACATGTAATTTATACAACATTCATTCAGCAAATACTTCTCAGTTATGTGCAAAAACACAATCATTGGTGTATTGGATAGAAAAGTATGAAGACAAGGTCCCTACACTCAAACATTTTCTGGTAAGGGAATAAGGCGCACTTATGCAAACAACAAGAGTGTACAAACAAGTACATTATTATGTGGCAAGGCAGTTGGGAAAGCTTATTAAGGTAATGAGAGCTTCAAACAGAACAGTTTGACAATGAGTATGGGAAGGAGATCCAACCCAAATACTACAGTACTGGGGCTTGGTGATTATTAGAGATAGAGTGGAAGAAAGGACCTAAAACTTTGACATCTTGAGCGAGAGTACTGCAAGAAGATGAACCTAGTAGAAACAGAAAAGTCAGTCAAAACTTGATTATCTCTTTAGAGAAAATAATGAGTTTGGGATATCTATGTCAGCTGGACCAGGATAAGGATCAGGTATTGGACATGTGACATTAACAGAACTGGAAATTCCTGTGACAGACAACTCTATCAATGTAAATTGGTACCTTCTCTAAAGCTTCTATTTGTAGAGAGATGTATGTATCAGAGTGCGTATCAGAAATGAAACTTGAGTACAGGTATTCTTGGCTTTGAGGCTGGCTTTTTCTCCACTATAACATACTGCCTTCTTCAGTCTCTAAGTAACTGGAAATGGTCAAAAATTGGAAAGAAAAGTTGAAGCTAGAAATATTAGTTTTGAAGATCTCTTCATAAAGAGTATACTTGAAGCTGTGAGAATAGATGAGCATAGAGAAAAAGTATATAGAGAGAAGAGGGACATACCTATATCCTGGGATAGTAGTAAGAAAAGCCAAATAAAGGAATGGGGGGGGAATGGTCAGAGGAATGAAAACCAGAACAATACAGAGTCATAAATGTGAATGTTTCAAGAAGCAGGATGGAAGAGGGAGGAAAAGAGGGTATAGTGACTCAGGAATGGATCCTATCTATCCCCAAAATATCAGAAAAAGGACCTACCTAAACATAAATATTCAGAGACGTTCTATTTGTAATAACAAACAAACCAACCAAACCCTAGGAAATTTACCTGTATAACTTATATGTTTTAAGAGAACAGATGAACAAATGATGGCACAATAATGTAATCAAAATATTAAAGTACCATTAAAAACAATAAATATTTGAAGCACATAAGAGCTATATGACGTAATACAGTGCAAAACCAGTAAAACTAGAATTTTTGCACACATCGACTACAACTAGATTAAATTAAAATAAAGAAGAAAAAGCCAGACAAATAAGACCAAAGGTTGTAGAACTATGAGCAAGACCTAGAAAAAGGGACACAACATAAAATATTTTGTGTTGTTTCATTTTTTGTTCATTTGTTTGGTTCTGCATTTAAAAAGCTAAAGGTAAGGATAGCTCTTCTGGGGGTCCAGAAGGGACACAGAAGAAAAGTCTACATAACATAACGTATTAATAAAAATAAATTTTTTTAAGGTAAGAGTTTTACAGTAAGATTTTACTGCTTGTTTTGTATATTTGTTTTGTTGACAACTGTTAAGTTTGTAATTTGAGGAGTTGGGGGGAGTAGGGTAAATGGTTAACAATGTAAAATTCCACAAAAGTAGAAAAAATAATACTGAAAAGAAACAACTAGACTGGACAATACACAATTTTTAAGAAAAGCTTTTAACAGAGTAGGAGGTGGGGAAAAGCCAGATTTTGTAAGAGGTGCTGGAGTGATAGAGTAGTGAGATAATGGAAACAGTCGATGTAGATTAGTCTTTCTAAAAGATGGACATAAATAAAAGAGAGCCATGAAACAGTACAAATGGGTGGAATCAAAGAAAGAGTAGTTTAGGAGAAATTTAAGCATATTTTCTTGGCCAAAAGTAAGTTGCTAATGTAAAGGCAGAGCTTTAATATAACAAGAAAGTTGATGGGACGTGGTACCAGAGAAAATAAAGGCACTAAAGGCACAGGACTAAAGGCACATAATGGAGTAGGGTCGGTCTTAGAAAGAAAAAGTGGTAGAGAAACAAAGTAAAGATATAAATACACCTCAAGTAGAAAAGAGAGAAATGGAAATGAGAGAAATTAAGGGAGAACTCGGGTATCTACAATGAAAAGATTTTAAAACTTGCTGTGAAAAATGATAGGAAACCAAATGAAGATGAATTAAAGAAATGCTAACCACCCCAAATGAAAATAAATCTATGAAAGCATTAAGCTTAGAAAGTTATCAGTAAAATTTGGGGGAGAAAAATTTTCATATAAATGAAATGTGTGTAATATTGTATTCACCTAAGTCCACAATTTCAAACATTTCTTCCGTTTGTTTAAACTCTAGTAAGTTATAAAGAATTGAGCTGTACTAATGTTGATATATAAACTTTCATACTTTTCAAGCACTCAATGTCAACTATCAGTAAAAGTATGGCTTGCATACTGATGATGATGCTCAACTTGAAGGCAGAAGGCTTGAGGTTGACTCAAAACTTCAAACAGACACTAGCTGTGTGACTAGAAGCAGGTCACAACTTCTCAGACCATTAATTCTCTTATCTATAAAACACAAGCTACCCACTTTAAAAGTTTATGTGAGAAAAGCACTTTGAAAATCTTAAAACATTATGTAAATGTGAGTTTTCCTTTTATTATTAGAGAAAAATCTTGTGCTTAAATTAAGTCAAGAAAGATGTATATACTGTTCTTTCTTTATATAAGTGGATCATTCTGCAGGCCTCTACATAAAGCAATTTTTATGAAATGTCAATTTGCCCACAGAAACGGGGAAGAAAAAGAGAGATTCCAGTGGCAGTGGAGATGGTGTCTTTGTAGACCATTCTGCTTCACTTAGAGGGTTTGTGTTTTGGTGGAGGGGTGAGAAGCTGCAGAGAACCAGGTTGAGAGGAAGGAGTTGCAGGAGTAGAGAGACAGCACAGTATTGTACTATAAAATTAACATAGGTGTTTTTTTTTTGGAATGCAGAATTTCTTAAGTAAAGTTGAATTTGTGTAATGTGAATTTACATAAAGTGAGAACTCTCTTACTTTCTTTAAATATAAATCAAGCCAATATTTCAACACAGAATCAGTGAGCTGTAGATACCAAATGCACTTTAGTCCAACTATAACTCACATGCATACAGATGGCAAAATCAGCAGCATCTTTTCTCTTACTGCAGCGTGGATGAAGGAAGAAGCATCCAATCCTATTGAGGTAATTAAAGATCTTGCAATTGACTGGAGGCTTCCAATTTGTATTTCCTCCTAAGATTTTAATGTTAAAAATTCAAAAATGATAGTCAAATTGCAGAAGAAATGGCCAAAAAGTTCCCCTAAATTTCTTTAAATATATGAAAAAAAATCTAATATCAGAAACTAAAATTAATGATACTGTATCTATTACTAAACTGTCATTTCTTTACTTTGTGGAAGAAATTATATTCTATACTATATTTTAAAAGCGTAAAGGATTACAAATTCTATTTTTGAGTTTTGACCTCAATATGATATAAACATGATAGTAAATAACAGCAAAATAGTAAACAATAGGTTTCATAAAATTCTTTGGGGGAGGAAATCGGATATTAAAATAACTTCTCTCTGAAGATCAGGAGAGTAGATGCAGAGATATATTTAACAGAATGAGGGGAGACTTGTTAGCCCTGAGGTTTTACGGGAAGTTTGTTCATATAATAAACCAACCAAGTGGCAAAACTCAAACTTCAGTGTTTCAGTACTAACATAAAATGGAATTTTGGGCTCTGATTATATCAGAACCAAGCAAATGATCTCTAGATTCCCAAATACAGCTGAAGACATAAGAGAAATTAACAAGACAAGATACTTTAGGATCAACAAATTTGAATATAGCTAAGATTATTAAATATCAAATATGATTCTCAAAACACATAAAAGATACTTGAGATACTAAAGGCTATGACAAATAAGATTTCAAAGCAAATTGCTTATTTTTGTAATCCTATTAATAATAGGAAACAATACTTCATAAACTCCTCAATAAAATCCACACCACTAACAAAACTCAAGAAATTTTAATAATTCAATGTCAAAATGTTCCTATAGAAATAACATATTCGGTACATAGCTGTGATTGCAATCAGTACAGAATAGTAAAACATTAACTTTAAAACACTGAAAGCTTTATTTATTTATTTGCCATTTTGAAAGAACACTACTTTTAGTATATCAGAAAGACCAAAATAACTTTGGAGTTGAAAGGCACCTCTGAGGTAATATACTCTAACACTTTCATTTCACAGATGAGGAAACTGAGGATAGAAGGGATTAAGTGATTTGCCCAAGATGAGATAGTTTGTTAAGGAAGAGAGCCAGGATTTAAACCTAGATTTTTTGACTTCCAAATCCAACACACATTCCACTATATCAAAACTGTAGCACCAGACTCAGAGTCCTACAGAATTAAATTCTAGTCCTGGCTTCTCCAATTCAGCAAGTCACACAATCTTTCCTAGACTTACCTTTATTGGTATAGTGGGCATTCTCTTTCCCTGCTTGCCTCAAAGGGCTTTTACATATAAGAATGCACTTATCAAACTCTAATATGCTATAAATACAATGTAAATTATTAGCAGTAGCATCAGTAGTGGCCGATGACCATGATGGATGGGGTAGGATGGTGAGGAGGGGAAAAATTATCCTAGAGAACCTCATTTGTGCTCAAATTCCTCAGAGTTTTCAGGTTCCTGCTGGGAAAATCCACTGGTTGGCCTGTAATAACATGTCATGGTGCTTCAATTCCTTGTTTTATCCTTGATCCAGAGCCTTTGAGTTCTTCCTACCAATTGTAAACTCTAAGAAGCTCATGCACTAAAGCCAGATCCTCTAATTAGCAAAGAATTAAATCCAAATGTCTCTAGAAATGTTGAGAACTTTACTATTAACTAATAAAGATTTAATTCTAAATAATGTTCCTAAGATTTTGAGAGCATTACTATACATCATCTAAATGAAGCTCCTTAACTTTGTTTCGCATTACTATTTCTCTATACTTCAAGGAAATTTCTTAAGATTTATATAATCAATCAACACACAGTTAACACTTTACAAAAATAATCTATAAATTGGGGATTCAAATGTGAATTGTAGAAAAATAATCATTATACAATGCCTCATTTCAATCATGTAGCTGAGTTCCATTGCAGAAAGGTTCAAAAGCAGTTCCATTTAAGTGGGTCACATTTATTTAAAGCAAGGGAGATATATCCAACTTTCATTGTTAACTTACCTTGAAATCCCCAGACAAAGGTTCCCTGATTAAGGAATCCTGGTAGATGACCAAAAAAGTTTGACCAATTATCAAAATCCACAAAGACTATATGAGTCATGGTTCGCAAGTAGTCCAAATCTGGTAGCTCAACATCTCCTTCATCTGGTAAAGACACATAGACACGGTCGCTGTCAGTAAGAATTTCCCTAAAACTTTTTAATTTTTCAGTATGAAATCTTAGCAAATTAAGACCAAAAAAAAAATGTATGTACGTGTGTGTGTGTGTAAAATTTCCCCATACTACCTAAAAGAGAAGTAGCTGCATCATTTGTTGTACATAGTACAACAAACTAATGGCAATTAAATTCTTAGGTATGCAACATGGTTAATATGCCGAGTCAGAATCTGATTTCATAACAATCATGTTATTACCTTTTTTAGCAGAATAATAATTTTTTAACCCCATCTTCATTTTTCCCCCTTCCCTCATCCTAGTTGTCTTAGGGCTTCTATTTCTGCTAAAAGCCTCCAGAACTAAACAGATGGTTAATGCCTTTTGTAAAGTAATCTTGTGAACTAGCTAAGATGAAGAATGGTAGTGCAATAGAAAGATATACTAGCTTTGAGGTTAAAGGATTTGGGTTCAAATTTTTCCTGACATTTACTATTTATGTGATCTTGGGGTTTTATGTGTAAAATGAGGGGTCTGAATGAGATGACTCCTAAGGTGTCTTCCAGTTTTAAATCTATGATACTATCTGAAAAAAAGGCACTTAAGAATGAATGGGGGGAAAGAATTATACAATTGAAGATGGCAGTATACCACTAATTTTAATTTTCTGTTTCATACTCTTAAATTATGGATCCATTGGATGTTTCATCAATGGGACCAAAACATTTATGCTCATTCCTTGCTATCATTTTAAATCCCATTGCTAAATCATTTTTTAATATGCAGAAGTTTTCCCTCCACATTAAACATAATGGAAACATACCCACCAGATTACATGAAGAGTACTTGTACTTTTAAAAATGACTTAAAAAGTATTCTTTATAGCTAAAAATTGAAACCAAAAACACAGGCTCCTAAAAGGCCTTTCAAAAATCAACTGGCTCATTCCAAGGCTTGGATGCTGTTAAAAATGACAACAGTAACATCCAGCAAAATAACTTTTAAACTCTAAAAGAACATGGACAAAAATCCCAAACTAATTTCCTTTCCTGGAGAATTTCCTGTGCCTTATTGAGAATCATGACAATGTTAGAAAGAAAAGGCTGTATGATAATACTTACTCTTTTAAAAAAAACCAACATGTACAATCCAAGTCCCTTAAGTTTGGAGTTTGGTTAAGAAAAGCAAGTAAATGAGAGATAATAAAGGAAGCCCAGTTACTATAACCTGGCTGATCAATATTAACTGAAAGCTTTAATTTTTTTCTCATATTTCTGGTTTAAAATAGATGGGTTATGGTTTAGCTTTCATTATTTACTACATCACAGACCTTATTATTATCCAGTTGAACCATGTATTATATACTGTCTTATTGGAAACATGCTGATTGTTGTTACATATATATGTATATGTTTATGTTAAGTTTCTATACAATTGTATGAGATTTGCATAGACATTAAATCATAATTTTAAGGTCATACCTATATTTTGACAGCCTATGTCATTCTTAGCTCCTGAATCCATGTTTAGTAGTCTATTTGAAGGAGATTCTGAAATTTTTGGATAGCTTACGGCATGTTTCAGTTTTCTGTCTACACGTGCACCACTGGCACTAAACTTGAATTGGCTTAATTTTTCTGGTCCAAAGTGAGCTATGTTGGGTTTTTGTAAGAAGCAATGTTTTGTGTGAAAATGTTGCTGAGCACTCTCAGCATCGTGAAAACTTTTGCTGCAGACAGCGCACTTCACAAAGTACTGCTCTTCTTTATGATCTCTCTCTCCCTTGTGTCGTTTAAGAATATGGGTATTCATGTCTGCTACATTCTGTGCTGTTGCTGAACACCAACAGCAACGAAACCACAGATTACCTTTGTCAAGCAAGATCTGTAGACATCTACTGTGATCTTCCTTCCTGTTAGTTTTACAGATGTAACTCTCCCGGCAGCCACATGTTAACAAGTTACTTTTCTCCAAAACGGGGAAATCATCCTCATTTTTAATTGAAGTTTCAGACTTTTCTGATACAAACACATAGTCTACGCTGTGGACATCCTTATAGTGACTCAAAAATGCTTCCTCCACATCAAAAGTCAGATCACAGAGCCCACAGAAATATTTAATTTTTATGTCACTGTCATGCTGGTCTTGGCAGTGTCGGTATAATGTCTCTATCTTGTGAAAGGACTTTTTGCAATGGTCACAGCTGTACCTATGAAACTGATGACTTGTTAAACACATACAGTGATGTTTAACACTTTCCTGGGAGTCAAACATATCTTCACAAATTCGGCACTGCCATTTTCCTCGTGGAGGGCTTTCTGGAGGGGACTGAAGAACAGGCATAATAGTTGAAAGACTACTCCTGTTAACAGGGCTACTCATCAATGTCTTAGAAGAGGATGGCAAAGGTTCCTCTTCTTCAGCATCTTGCTCATAAAAATAAGTGTGTCCACGATGATATTCAGTCACATGAGCCATAATAGTCTCTTTTCTCCGTAATTCCTTTTTGCATGTCCGACACCAAAAAAGAAAGTTATTTAAATGTGCCCCTCCATGAAACCGACTCATGTGCAAACGCATAACACCTGCATCTTCAGACACTTTCCCACAGACTACACATTTATGGCACATTGTATTTGCTGAGAATACATGCTTTTCTGCTGCATCTTCACTCAGGAACTTTTGTTGGCATTCACAAAACCAGACCGACTTATTTTGTTTTGTATGTACTGCACCTTCACTATTTTGATCCTCCAAGTTTTTCTTCTTCTTTGGAGTAGCGCTGCATGCCTGTGTCCTTGAATCTTTATTGGATAGCGTCCTTTTAAGTGATGAAAATTTTGAATGCTCTAGCAGGAGGCGCAAATCAGAGGGAGGTTTGTTACCTCCATTGATGTGACAATACATCAAGATGGATTCTTCCATTGAGGCAATGACTCTGACTTTGTGTCCTGAAGTCTGCTTGTGACTATTGGTACTGCTCTCATCCACAAAGAGTTCACTGCAACTTAGACAATAACCTCTTGCTTTGAATCGCTCTGCAACCTGGGAGACACTCTTCTCAGCTACTGCTACAGGACCCGCATTTCGACAATGGACTCTGAATTAGACACAAAAGATAAAACATCTTTATACACTAGTTTCTAAATTTTGTAATTATACAAGTTTCATATAGCACTTAGCATAGTACAACATGAACAAATAAAATACTTTTTAATTAATATACAATAATGACATTAAAACACCTCAAGATTCCTGTATTGCTTATATATTGCCTGTTTCTATGGAAGATGTCAAATAGAATGGAGACGATTGACACATATAAGAGAACTGTAAAAAGCATCAAATATATATATGTAACTAGACATATTACATATTGTTATATATAACATAAATGTATTATATATACATAATATATAATATTTATAAATACTATATATTATATATATTATATTAAACTATTCTTGAAGAATAAGCTGCTTTAATATGTGAGCATTTTCTTGGGTAACAAGATGGCTTATTTTGAAGAATTAATATAGGCTAGAATGGTGGTAGTTTAAATTCCAAACTTACAGGGGAAAAAAAACAAAATAAGTAAGAATAGGATATGGCTGCTGAGGAGAAATGGCTAAACAAATTGATGTCTGTTTGTATAAAAATATAGATAAATATAATTCATGTTTCTATTACCTTCCTTACCACTCATTTTCTATTTAATTTCCTCAACATGGATTTTCACCTCTCCTATCCCTATTCTAATGAAATAGAATTATCCAAATGACCTTTTCTTGATTTTCATTCCCTTTTACCATTCCTCAAGTATTTTTTTAATACTGTTCTGTTCTCACCCCTTTCTCCCAATTAAAATCTTCTCATTTTAGGGAGAGGTGAACTTCCCATTGCTCTGGCCAGTTTTGATTCTCCAAATGTAAGTAACCCAAAAGATTCAGTGTTCAACTCTTTGAATATTTTTTTCTTCTTATAAATCTCATTCATTCTTTTTCCTTTAAGCAAATACCTTTATCAATATTTGCCAAGTGTCCATCTCCAAACTCGATTTTTCTCTACAAGTCCCATAATAACACTCCCTACCTCTTGTGGGACAGACATTTCCACTTAGATATCTTCCTACAAACTTCAAGCTTGGAGCCTCTTCCCCAACCCCACACTCCAAAAACCAGTTTTGCCATGTTTGCCATATCTCTCTCCTCTCCTTTTCCATTCTCCCCACAACCACTCTATGGTAAGGACTACCATGGGGGAAAGTAAATAGTAAAATTTATGGGAAAAAACTGATGCACTGATTTTTATCAGTTTATAGTGGCCTCTCTAGAGATATTAGTTTATTATTCAAAACATAATAATTTGCTTTCCAACTTTGATGATAAGTAAAAAATACCACAAAATTTGTCACTCATGAAAACTTTGAAAAAATATCTTCCCATTTCACATATCTCATTACAACATTTGCTGATGGTCAGGGGGTGATTTCCACAAAATGTTCTGGCTATCTCAGCACAAGCATATAATAATAGGGTTGAAAGTAACTTTGGAGAGATCATCAAGTTAAACTCCTATACCCAGCAACAGATAAGAATTGACCCTATCTCTGCAAAGCTTTGTCCAAGGTACCTCGACTTTATGAATATTCCTCCTAACAAATAACCTAATTAAAGTCACAGTTTTAAGGCCTATTTTTCTAAGAAATAAAACACCTGTTGGTCACTATCCTCTGTACACAATACAATAATAAATCACATTAAATAACCCATCACATGCTTTAAGGACTCAAGTTTCAAATCAGTTTTCTTTTCTTCAGGTAGAATAATCTATATTCTTTTACTCTTTCTTCAAGGTTATATTTTCCAGTCTTTAATTATTATTATGACTAGTCTAGCCAAATATCCTATTTCTGAAATAAGGCCAGTCTGCTGAAATCTAAACAATTCCTTCCTTCCTTCCTTCTCTCTCTCCCCTTTCCTTCCTCCCCCCCCCACGCTCCCAAAGGCTTTTTGATCTTTTAAAAATAACTACACTTTTCTTTTAGTTTCAATATGTCTCTATGACTTTTATATGATACAGTAGTGAGTGCTCTGCAGAAATAGCCACATTAAAATTTTCCTCTAATAAATTTCAAGAAGTGCATGGTAAGTGTTTTGAGTAGATGTATGCTCTAATGCTTCCTTCTCTAAGTATACTGAAATCTTTTAAGATAAACTTTTATTTATCTTGTTAGCTATCGAAAAGAAAAACTTTCTTAAAAACAGATGTTATTATATAACCTCTATCAAATCATTTACTGTCTCAGGAAGGGGAGAGGTGAGGGAGTGAGAAAATTTGAAACTCAAAATTTTATATAAAAAAGGAATGTTAAGGGGCAGGTAGGTGGCGCAGTGGATAGCGCTCCTGGCCATGGAGTCAGGAGGACCCAAGTTCAAATCCAGCCTCCGACACATGACACTTACTAGCTGTACATCCCTGGGAAAGTCACTTAACCCCGATTGCCCCTCAAAAAAAAATGAATGTTAAAAATTATCTTTACATGTAATTGGAAAAAAACAAAATACTACCTACTAAAAAGGGAAAGAACTGTTAAACAGATGTATAAAATGATTTTACATATTACACACACATATTTCTGTCTGATGATAGCCATTCTCTAGTGTGAGGGGGAATGAAAAGAAATTTACATGATAATTTTATTATATATTTTAAAGCAATGGCAAGTTGTACATAATAGTTTCTTGTGAAATCTTATCTTTTTTATTATACCATGTTATGGAAATGGACATTTTTTTAAAAGGGGATGTTATTTAGCTTCATATGATACAAAACAGATACACAGAAACATGCTAAACTCCCCCATCCATTCAAAAAGATTCCTCTGGAGCAGATGGTGTCTGAATATAGACTGAAGCACTCTTTATTTTTCTTTGGGGTTTTTTTTTGGTCCATTTTCTTTCACAACATGACTAACTACTATGAACATGTTTTGCATGACTACACAAGTATAACCTATATCGAACTGCTTGCCTTCTTCAATGAGGGGGTGGGGGTGGGGAGAAAGGAAAAGAAAGGAACTCAAAAGTTTTAACAAATGCTTTAAATTGTTTCTACATGTAACTGGGGAAAAAAAAATATGATTCCTCTGATACTTTAGCTCATAATAATGTTGCCTGTTCCACTTAATAATGTCATTATGTAGTTATTTCATTTTCTACACGTATGTTTTTAAAGGTCCTAGAACTTATAACTTCTTCCTATACCAGTTTTGCAATGTTTGCCATATCTCTCTCCTCTCCTTTTCCATTCTCCCCACAACCACTCTATGGTAAGGACTACTATTGGGGAAAGTAAAGTAAAATTTATGCGAAAAAAAACTGATACACTGATTTTTATCAGCGTACAGTGGACTTATAATTGGTCTTATAACTTCTTCCTATCCCCCATGACATCTAGCAAAGAGTGACAAAAACAAATATTCTCACATTTTATCCTCACAACCACCCGTGGAGACAGTGCTATTATAAATTCATCATTTTATGGAGGAAACTATTTTTTACATAGGTAGCAGAGGTTAAGCAACTCTCCTAGAATCACACACACAGCTAGTAAAAGTGTGAGGCTGAATTTAAACTCAGGAATTCTTAGAGCCCAGATTCAAAGTGTTTTTATCCTCTGGGCACCAACCTAGGTGCCTCTAAGTAAAACTAGTAACTTTCTAGATCAATTGCTTTAGAGTACTTTAACTACGTAAGACATATTTAAAAAGACATGAAATTTAGGAATTAAACTAACTTCTTCATGTAGGAAGGAACTTAAAAATATTCAGTTTCACCACTGTTCTCCCAATTTGCCAGGTTATCCTATCTATAAAGTACCTACTCAGAAGCACATCTTCATTAGCATCAAGTAAGGTTAGAGCTTCTGCTAGTTGGCAGTTAAAAATCATAATTAAAACTTTTCTATTACTTGAGTCATACTTACCTGAAATGGGCTGTAAGATCCATGTGAGAACGTAATGTTTTGTGGCAGGCCATGCATTTCACTTGAAAGGGGACTTCCTTACAGAGAGCTATCAAAAGTTTCTTTGCAAAAGATGGAAATGGTATAGGACATATTTCCTTGTCATCTGGGAGAAAAATGGACAAAATAAATTACAAATATCCCTCAAATCCTCACATAGACAACATAAAGTAATTATATTTTAAGGAATTCAACTTTTTAGTCTATATAGGAAGAGACATCAATCTTACAAGAATTTGAGGCATTTAACTGAAAGTAACCTAAGTTCAAGTACTACAGATACAAAAAGAGAGACCAAATAGTTTCTTTTCATTTGTAAGAGTAAATTAATTTTATTCACTGAAAACTGAAGTTTTCCTAACTTTCTGAGTTCTCAAAATATTGCATAGTGTTAAGCAGGCTATAATTCTCTTCTGAACTGGAGGTTATTAAGAAGATACATAACACAAATAAACTGGTCTTCTGACAGAATTTTAAAAGAAGACCAATAATAGTCGAGTACCAAACCTCAGACACTAACAAGAGCTCATGTGATCATGTAAGCCAAAACTTCTGAGTCTCAGGTTCATCATTAGTAAAATGGGGATAAAAATACTTCCTAAACACAGTAGAAAAATATACTTGGCCCATGGAATCTGCCCTCAAGGGTCATAAGTCTGGCTTCTCACCCAAACAAGAAAAAACATGTTTCTGTTACCATATATAGTAGTTACATAGTAGAATATATGGTAAACTAAAGTAACGAACCCTCTTTACCGTGTTGATCTTAGAAGCAGCAAGTCATTTCCCCTTCTGAGGCTCAGTTTCCTCATTTGTAAAATTGGGGGGGGGAGAAAGAGAGGGAGAGTTGGACTAGTTTATATCTAAGATTCCCTTCCACAGCCCTAACATTCTGTAAGTTTGTTTTTACTAATCTTTACAACTTCCCTAATCCTTCCTCACCTCCCCCAACCTGCCCACAGACCTGTTGTTATACATACTAGGCCCTCAAAAGAAGCTTGCTGAACTAGATTAAATAGTGGTAAAAAATATAAAAACAATATAAATGAACATACCACCCAGTTTAAAACTCTGAAGAAAATGATTTTTTCCAGACATATGCCGCAAACATTCATCCTTGTTGCTAAAAAGAAGGAAGCAATTTGGACATGCAAAGCACTGAATAAGCTGGGGAAGAAGACTGGTTTTATGTCCATCAGCTGCAGCTGCCTAAATAAGATAAAACAGTTTATAGATTATGCAACCAATTTGTCAAATTCAAGGATTAATACTTAAAAGACAATTGCTTAAAATTATTTTAGTTAGCTTTCTATAGGTTTTATGATATAAGCAATTTATATATTCCATAAGCACATATAAACATCAAATAAATTTTCATTTATATAACCTGATTGATTTAATGTGAAACAAAAAACTAAAATTTAGCAATATTACCACACTTTATGTTAACATTGTAACAGAATTTTCTTTAGTTGCTCCATCGATTGACTACTAATCAATTTAATTCTAGACACATTAAACATGCCAATGTGCAGTTTTATCAATTGCATAACAAGATTTTCAACACTGAAGTGAATACTAACATATATAACGATTACAACAATACTTTCTTCCACAAAGCAATTTTGTACTTTAAAGATTCCTAAAAGAAAATATCATCTGGCAAGTGTCACTATATTCATCAACATGTGATTCTGGTTTCTTTCCCTAGCTCTGGGCCTCAGTTTTCTCACTTGTAAAAAGAAGAGGGTTTAGAGTAGTTCTCCAAAATCTTTTCCAGTTCTAGATCTGTATTCTGAGTATTTAGGCATGAGAAGATAGCTTGTGTAAAAAAAACTAAAACAAAAACAAAAAAACCCACTGTAGAAATGGGAAATGAAATGTACTGAACAAAGAACATAAAAGTTTGGCTGGAACAGTTCATGAAGGAGTACTGTGAAATAAATAATTGTAGAAAAGCTTAGATCCAGCTTGAGAAAGGCACTTAAAAAGCCGGAGTAATTGGCATTTTATCCTTCATAATAGCCACTGGAACTTCTGGAACAGGAGAATGACATGATTCGATATGCACTTTTAAGATTAGTGAGTTAGTAGTCTTGGCTGGAGAAAAAGACCAGTCAATTAGGATCCTGACCCTACATTCTAAGTATACACTCTGTTATCATAAGTTCACATACTGTTTCTTTAGTAAATTGAAATACGTTTAGTTAAACTTTTAAAGGAAGTAATTCATTAAAAAATTTTTCCCATTGACACCAAGAAAAATCCTATTTGTAGTTGCTTTATTGGCCAGAAGAGGTCACTAGAGGATTTTCTGAAAGCTCACTTTTCTCAAATACAAAATCCATTTTCTATCTGTAGTCTCTTTTCAGCCTGGAAGAAAGTGAGCTTATTCCAAACACTGATAAGATAGGCATCCTCATAAAATTTAGGATCTTAACTCACTTGGGCAGCTTTTTCAGTCAGAATGCCTACACTCCTTATTTGCTTCCTTTCAATCTTTTTAACTGTTTAAGACAATAAGGATCATTTAATTAGCTCAAGATGAGAAGCACTTAAGAATAGTCTATTGCTGCCATTGCTATAGGCTATCTTTGGCAAGAGAGAAATAAATTATCTTTCTTCTTTATCATCTTGCTCTCCAGAATTATTGTTGCTTCTGTCTCCTGATATTCTTATAAAGCCTTCCATTTTGGAGGTTTCAACAAATGTTAAGTGCATACTTAACAGGGTGCTATGCTAAGTTCCTCCTTCCAAGGAGTTTATTATAGGCAGATCTAAGATATATACATATGTATTCATGAGGTCAGAATATGAGGCAACTAGAAAAAGACAGAGAAAAAAGTGCTCTAGGAAAATTTAAGGTGGGAGCTTTTTGAAGAGTGGTTAAAGAAAAGCTTTATTGAGATATTATGTAGCACACCTGATCTGAGCTTTAAAGAAGAGGGCCTGCATAGGACAAGGTCAGAGAGGTTACATATTTATAAAGTAAAAATAAATGAAAGAATAGCTGTGTCTGTCATGTTAGGGCTTTACAGAAGAAATGTAATTCCTAAGTCTTTTTAAATTAGTTATCCCAAAATAATTTTACAAGTATAAAAGCATTAATTTGATTAATTTTGTAGTTCAGTCAGTTGGGGTCCCCCCCCAACAAGCTATCTTATCATGCCTAAACACTCATAATAGAACACAGATCTAAAGCTGGAAAGAATTCTGGAGAATGACTCCAACCCTCTTCATTTTACAAGTGAGAAAACTGAGGCCCAGAGCTAGTAAAAGAGACTAAGATCAAAGCTTTGAAGGTAAAATGAGGAGGGAAGGGAACGTGAGGTGTCATGAGAAACAAAGTTTCTCTGTGCAAGGGGGAGACTGAAAGGTTTTAAGGAAAAGTATAAATACTAACTGCCTCCTTATGATAGTTATTTTCAGGAAACCAATGATGTTTGGTCAGATATGCCCTTAGTACCTATCATATTTTCTAGTGTTCACGAGAATAAATCAACAGAACTAATATGATCAATCTTGTCCATGAGGATTATGAAAAGTAATAACATGTACTAAAATTCTAAATTCCTTTGATTTGCTGGCCCTCTTGTTGCTATCTATCTGTTGAGACAAAGGCACAAAACTTCATATTTGCCTTAAAAAGGTTTAGAAGTAGCTAAACTATACAGTTCAATGGACCTCTCTCCTCGGGAAGGAAATCTCCAATCGTAATATTCTAAACCCACATCAACAATCCTAAAATTAGTTATGTATATCACCAAGTGCTGGGTAGAAATAAAAACCCTATGATGTGATGAATTATGTAATTTTCTATCATTTCAAAACTCAGTTTCAAGTATGATAAAAAAAACATCACAACCTGGTTCACTGTTATACAGATCTCACTAGAAAAGGGTGGTTAAATCCTATCCCAATGCCACATAAATAAGATACAATATAGCCTTTTCTCAGACCAGCTTCTAAATAAAAAGTACAGAACATTCTTTTAACATGGCCCATGAGATTGCAAAGTATGTATGAGAGTGGGGAGAGAACACTGGATTCATTGCAAAATGAACCTAAGACCCCAGAGTCAGGAGGCCTGAGTCCATGTCCCAGGTTCTGCTGTAACCTCACTTTCAACTTGGGAAATGGGCTTAACCTCCCTTGCCTTCAGTTTCCTCACCTGCAGATCTGCAATATATGGGGACTGGAACAGATAATCTCAAGATCATAAACATTCGACGACTATGATAATGCTCTATACTTATAGCTCCTGCTCATTATTATTCTAACCTTCCATAAAAGTTCACATTTTTTTGATGCCCAAGGCATAATTTAATTTTAAAAATGAAAAATTAAGAGCTATGAAAAAATACACTGACTCCATATATTTCATAGAAAACAGAACACATGTCCTTCCTTACCTTACAGAGGTTCTTACCTTAGCAAAAAGGTGATCACTATATTGCTGCTGGGTAGCAAATTTTTTATAACATATTACACATGCAAAGGAATTGGTGAGAGGTCCATGCAGTGTAATTGTTGGATCACATGGAGAATGATCAAACCTGCAAAGTAGCAGAGATTTGTATAAAAGTTTAAGTTTCACACTCAAACATTTCAAGGATTTATTAAATACCTACTTATGCTATACGCCTGTGCCTTTAAGGATGGATGTAAACATAAAATTAAAGTATTTGCCCTCAAGAATCTTGCCTTTTAAGCATGGAGGGGAGAGAAGCAACATGTATAAAAATAAGTCAATATAAACATAGGCAAAGTAAATAAAATTTAACTTTGAACTTTCACAGGAGACATACTAAAATGTGACTGGGGGAGATCAGGAAAGATTTTTCATAGATAGTAATATTTGAGATGTCCCCCAAGCTAAGTTGCCTAATCTATAATGATAAAAGAGTTTTGTAAAAGCTATCTGCAAGTTATAAAATTACTTTCTTACTGAACATTATTTAAACTAGGGCTCAGTATCAAATTAACATTCAAACAGTTCATTAGCCTTCCCATTCTTTACCAAGATCAGAGGGAAGTAGCATCTAAGGGCTGTTATGACTTAGCTTTGATACAGAATATATGTAGAATTTTATTCCTATAAAATAGATGATGAATAGAACTACTTGGTATATACTGATTAAACACATGTAGGTATGCAATTTCTTAATTCTCTCCAGATTTCTCTGAGTTTATTTATACCACATTAGTATCCTGAGTCTATGGTGAGGCACCAGGACCTGGCACATAATAGTCCTCATTCATCTTTTTCTGGTTTCCTCCTTCAGAACAAGCTCTAGACCTGGAACCCCTATCCTGAAAGTAAGGGACCTAGGTTCCATAATTACTAAGAACAGGTCTGTATTGTTACACCTCTCTGAATCTGCAAGAAATCTGGACAGAAATCAAGACAGAGGGAAGTAGAGGGAGAGAATCTGGCACCTACATAATTTCCAGAATTTACTTTGCCACTGTCCAGGAGGGGTAAAACACACTATCAGTGGCCTATCTAACCCAACCAATGTGTCTAACAAGAAGGCTACTGAGGTCCTGTTCCATAAGCAAATAACAATGGCTCTTATAATGATCACATCTTTTGGCAGTGGTGTGGTTTGTGTCTTGCAGGCTGTCCATAACTCCCTTATTTAAGTCCCTCTATACCTCAAAGTCATCTCACATTGAAATCATTAAGAAAACCAGGCTTGAAATACAAAGAGTTTTATATCTTTCCTTTTAGGAATTTTTTATTGTGTATAAAAGGATATATCCTTAATTTTGTTCTCAATAAAAAGAATAAAAACCCAAGAGGGCTTTTAAGAACAAATAATTTTAAAACTCTTTAAAATCATACCTGAGTCAAATATGCAGAATTTGGATTAGTTTTCAACATATCATTGTAAAAAAACAATAAATAAAAATCTATGAATTTATCAAATATCTAAATATTTGAAAATAAAGATGTACTATTTTAAAGCCAAAAAAACACAAAAATAAAAACATTAATATTGACTACCTCAAATATGTATCAGAAAATAACTAATACGACAATAAAAACTCAATGTAACACAATTACTTGTATTTTATTCTGAACGCTGAGAAAATGTTACACTGACCTTTTCAAATGACCCAAGAGAAGGTGCCCATTGTCAAATTCTTTGTTACAATACATTATGGGGCATGAAATAGGTTTGCTGGACACTGGCATTTGGCTTGCTCTTCGAATTGGACCTCTTCTTCCAGAATTAATTGTGCCTGTTTTAAGTCCTGCAATGGAGCAATTACTGGATTTACATGAAAACAGTCATTAAATATTTCCATACTGTGCACAAAACTTTACAAATAATAAAAACTTCTAAAAAATGTTTTTCTGGTAGCAAGCAGATATATTGATATACGCCCTTATTTAAAGAAAGGAAACTGTTTTAATAGCTTCAAAGAAACACTCTGACATTTTCTATTTAAAATATTTGTCTGAGATCTTCTGCAGAATTGTAATTTTAATAACAAAAGGCCTCAATGATTCATTCAACATTTAAAAATCCAAAATATTCAGAAAAGTTAGGATTTTGGAAAATGCTTACAATTCCAATGAGACCCTCCCCCCCCTTAAAGTTTAGGGAGGATAAAAAGCACAAACACACACAAAAATATATCTTTAGTCTCTATTATACAATAATTTTTCAAAAGTTATTTTTTGCTTATAAAAGGTTTTTTTGTCTCTCCTATTGTTTTCCTCTTAACAAATTAAGCATTTAGTAATTTTTTTAAGCAAATTTACAAGATTCAGTTCTTTTAGAAGGCCTAGGAAAAAATAAACCTTCAGAGCACAACTGTCCAAAACACTTCAGAACAATACAGACAATCCTAGCCAAACAAGAAAAGCTACTCTTCAAGAGAATCCTGCCAGCCCTATTTGTCAAACAAACTGCATCTCACAGCTATCAAATTAAGTTCCAGAGAAGATCAGTAGTCTTCCATATTTTACAGACCAAAATTTGCATTATCAGCATGGTACCATGGTACCAGTAGAAAAAAGCACTGGCTCTGGCCCAAGTGTCAAGAGGACCTAGGTTCAAAACTAGCCTCAGATAATACATATCACCTGTGTGACATCAGACAAATTACATAACCTCTGAGTCTCAAAAGGTTTTCTTATCTGGAAAACAAAGGGGGTTGAACTAGATAGCCCCTGGTGTCCTCTCCAGTTCTAAATCTATGATCATAGGAGTAAACTTCATGCAAGCCAAACTGGAGGAAAGATCTATTTCTCTGCTTCTCTTCTTATTTAGTCCCTTTACCTTTCTTTTCCTACCCACCCTTCTTACCAATTTTCTCCTTGAACCTGTAACTGTCCAAGAGCATAAAAACATGACACAAAATTTCTGCACATAATTGTGCCAATTTCTAACACTGAAGTGTCATAAAAAATTTAGATATGCTTCCAGATATCACAGAATATAAAGAACTGTGAAAATCTGAAATGTTTGAATTAAAGAGCCATATTATATACACATAACCTATACTGTGTATCAAATAATAAAAATGGCTTTATAAGCTCATTAAACACAATCATCTCTATTTTTGTGCTCTTCGAAACTTATTAAAAGGCAACTGGGTGGCACAGTGAATAGAAATGGACCTGGAGTCTGGAAAGACCTGAGATCAAATGGCTCCAGACACTACTACCTGTCTGACTCTAGGCAAGTTACTTAACCAATGCACCTCAGTTTCCTCAACTGTAAAATTAAGATAATAATAATAGCAGCATGTATCTCCTCCCAGGGCTGTTTTGAGGATAAAATGAGATACTTGTAAATTATTTTGAGAACTTTAAAGCATTATATAAATCATACATACACTTGTATATGTATACATTATGTACTCACTGTGACTAACAGGTAAAGGTGGTATAATGGAAGATATGACTATATTTTGAGTCAGTTCAAATCCTGAATTCAAATCCCACCCCACTACATCTTTGAGCAACTGTGAGCTTAGGCAAGTTCACTTTTTAACCTACCCCTTTCCCTGTACCTGATCCTAGTAGGTTGAAACTTGATGGCCTCTAAAATCCTATTCCAGTTCAAAATCTTTGAACCTATATATCTATGTGAAAGTAATTTAACAAGCTTTTAATAATTTCATAGATAAGAACAGTATTCCCTCTGAGAAACTTAGCAAGTAACAAATTTTGTAGACTGTTAGAGCTAGAAGGGATCAAGATCAATGAGATTATCTAAATCAATTCCTCCTCTATTGAGGGACAGAATGAGATGAAATTATTTGCCTAAACTAATATAGTTTAGCAAATAGCATTAAGCAGAATTTCAATCCAGGTCATCTTCTGATTCTATATACACTACCTCTTCGAATAAGCTTGCAATGTCACCGCCTATTTTCCTAATATGGGCCAAGTTTCTTTATTTCACTTACACAGAACTCATGGGGGCCCAGAGAGATGAGAAGGATCTTAGAGGTTATCAAATCTAACCTCCACTTTGTTTTACAGATGAAGAAACTAAGGCTCAGAGAAGTTAAGTGACTTAAACACTCACACAGCATCTAGCAAAGCATCTGAGACTGGGATCTGAGGCCAGGTCTTCCTCTTGAACTTTTTACTGTTACCGTGCTACCCTTCTCCAGGCAAACAACAAGTGGCATGAGTTTTTAGCTAGAACTACACTTTGTACTAACTTGGATATCCACAAAGTAGAAATGGTAGAGTGCAATTCAAGGATAATTTATTAAGCACCTACCACACACAGAGCACAAAACAAAACAAAAATGAAACAGTTCCTCCTTTAGAAAGCTTACAATGTCAATTTTTTTCCCATTGATTTTAAAGACAGAGAAAATGCAGTAAATACAAGACATTTAAATGAGCTCTAAAAAGTTTATTTTGTTAATGTCATGTTCATTTCATCTCTATGATTTTAATTTTTGGGACAACTAGACTGTGACAAGACCTAAGCTCCACTATTCCACACTGCCTTTTCCACCAAACAAACACCAGTGGAATTTTTAAATATGACAATATATGGTATTAACTAAAATATCTACAAAGTAGAGATAGTGTGCAATTCAACAGTTATTTATTAAAAAGCATCTATTATTATATGCAAGGCACAAAGACAAAATTGAAACCTGCCCTTTAAAATGCTTAAGTTTTATACTTTTTCCACCAATTTTTCCTCTGTCCACAGACAGAGGAAATAAATTTCTAGACACTAAATGAGCTCTGAAAAGGTTACTTTGTTAACCACAACATGTTCATTTCACATTCATCAGTTTACCTTACATTTTTAATTTTTCTCTAAGTATTTAATAGGCTCAAGATTATGACAGAACTTTCATTATTGCTCAGCCATGCTATGCTGATTATGTTTTCCAAGAGGACACTCTACATAACTACCAGTAATAATACCTCAGTGGATGAAATGGCAGAAAAAAATAGGGAAAAAGTCAACCAAAAAAATGAGCACTCTCCATGAAACAATAACCAATGACATAATTCAGCACCACAGCCCCTCCCTTTATAACTCAGAGCTTTGATTTTAATTAGTACAAACTCCAATTTTCAAGGTATACTGGTCCAATGGAATTGAGAGTGCTATAATTTAAAACTATAAGGGGAGTTCTAATGACTTATTAATGATATTCTCCCATAAAGAGGCCATAAGACTAGAATAAAGCATTACTTATAATAGCTACAAACTTTTAAAAAAAGGAAATAATCTTTTAGCTACTGAGAAGTGGGACTTTTCTCAATTAAAATAGGTCATTTAACTCTAGTCTCTCAAAGAACAGTTTCAACTACATTAATTTGCTTCACTCTTTCTTATAATATCATTATGCAAATGGCAAATAAAAAATATAGGGTAGTCTGCATCTCATTATGAATAATATCTAGCAATAGCCCCCAAAACCCATTTTCACAATGAAGATAAGGACTGAGAAACATATTTGATGTGAAGGTGATGGCTTGGAAATTAAAAAAAAAAAGGCAAAGTACTAACCTTAACCCCTAAGCTCATGCTTCTCAGTAACCGATCAGCCATCAATGAGCTAGGTACAACCTGATCCTATATAAAGCACCAGGTCTTCCATGCATCATAAAGCATGGCTAAATGACACATTTGCTCCCACTTGTCTGCTCAATGAAGGATATTATTATAGTCAGATGTAACTTAATTATGCCAATTCATTAATAAAGTTGTAAAAATCTAGATGCAAAGAATACTTACTTATTGTATGTACCATTATAACCTAAGACATTGAAATAGGCACCAAGAATTGGGTGCATGCCTAGATGTGAAGTTTTTGAGGTTAGATTTAAGAAGCCACAACGCATAATTCCCCAATATCTAACACTGTTCATAATAATAAATCTTTAGAACCTTTCATGGATGATGATTTCTCTGAAAATAAGCTTAGTTTTGGAATTTGAGTATCTGATATCTTGTACAATAGTATAACCAAATTCTCCTTCAAATATGCCTTTCAAATGAGTAAAAATACAAGAGGTCAACAACCCATAATCCTGAATGCCACCAGTAAAGCTGAGCAATGACTATAAGTACCAATAGAAGGCTGTAGGTAAATTGTTTCCCCTGCACAAAGTCAACTTTACAAATATAATGGATTCTACTTTCCAGAATAATTTCTGAGTGGAGTGATTTGATTTTTTTGAAAAAGGAATTTGTGAAAAGCTGAGGTTCTTCCCTATTACCATTTCCCTAATTCTAAACTTTAGATCTATAGCAGATATAACCTCAAAATTCATTGAAAATGGGCACTGTATAAAGAAATGTTTGTCAATTGCTTGCAATCACTTTGTTGAATTATTTAAACCAGAACCCACATGTAACTCTTATGCCTTTCTGGTACCTGAGAATCTTGAGATCCTTGCTCAACTTGGTTGAAACAGGTACTATATGTAAAAAAAAGTTTTCACCAAGTCAGACCTTTGAAAACTAGGCAAGGTATCTGGGTCCACTTCCCTGTTTCTATTAACGGTCCAAAGTAACCACTTATGGATGATTCTGTGGAACAGTGTTGCTTTCTACCAAGATTAAAAGATGTTACTTAACCTGGTCCCTTTTTAGTTATTTACACACACCATTTCCACAAGTTAACTATAAAGTTACGCAACAAAATCTGGGTGCAAACACTAATTATCTCAATGATGGCATATAAAAGACACTTGGCATTTCAAAACTCTTCAAAATCTGTCTCCAAACCTACCCCTCCAGATTCATTAAGCATGACTCTCCCGCATAAACTCACCTACCTATGGTCCAATTTAATTAGCCTTGCTGTTTCACATAGAAGATATTCTACCTTGTATCTCCATGTCTTTGCACAGGCTGCCTGTCACCTATGTCTGAAATGCACATACTTACTGGCACTTCTCAGAATCACTAGCTTTTGTTAAAGCTTTTCAGGCCCTAGCCAAAATTACCTAGTATACATTCACGTGTATATGTGTACAGAGACATATACACACACATGCACATGTACGTGTGTGTTTGTGTGTTGTGTGCATATATGGGAGGGGGAGAGGGATCTCAGTAGTACTGAATGAATTAAAAAACAAAAATCACAATTATGAGACATACATTTAGAAAACATACAATTTTTGTCTTTTTCAGATGGTTTTAACAAGTAGCTTTATTAAGTATTAAACATCTAGGTAAAATGACTATGTCAATAAATTATTCTGTGGACAAAACACTCAAAATCAGCAATCTTTCTACATCAACCACTGATAGGGTTAACACTTTAATGACTAAAGAAACCATTACTATCACTAAGGGTTGGGATAGAAGACTTATTTCTCCAAAACCACATGATTTTACCTCATGATGGATATCAAGTCAAACTTGAATTAAGATTATAAAATGTGAGCATTCAAAGGGCAACACATAGCATCTAGTCTCTCCCAACTGCTAGAACTCTTTCTAAGGTATTATACTGGCAACTTTTTAAAAATGAAATTTATCTTCCAAGTAGAGTTCAACAATTAATATAACAAAAACATTTTGATATTTTTGAAAAGTACAACTAATATGTAGGGTACATTTGAGATTCACAAATATGAACTAGTTTTATATACAAGTAGTCTGTGATTGAAAGTGGATTTTACAAATGGAAAAAAAAATAATGCGTGTGTGTGTGTGTGTGTGTGTGTGTGTGTGTATGTGTGTGCAGGAGGGGGGAGGGAGCCATTATGAGGTTTTACTTAAACCAGCTTTCAATGCCATATATGTTGATTAACAACTCAAGAGCACAAATATATTAGTTTACCAAAAATAAGTATGGTTCATAAAATCTTAATAATCCTCACTTTTCTCACTCTGAAAAAATACCTGGCATTTTTAGCCATTGGTCCACACACAATCTTGCTGCTTCTGTGTCACTACGGTCTCGAATAAACTCCAGTTCTTGTAATCCATGAGCATGCTGAAAATCTATTTTTTCCTAAAGATTAAAAAAAAAAATCAGATCAATGAATGATTATTATACTCTAGGTGCAAACGAAATGCTGTACATCATTTTTAAAAACCAATGATTTGTTATAAGTTATTGTACTATGCTAAGCATTTTTGAGATAATTTTTAAAAGGTGAATCTTTGATCTCAAATGTTCCTTTCTTAAAATAGAAATGGTTATATTAAAGTCACTGTCAATCATAAACAAGTCATCACCAAATTAGGAGGGAAAAAAAAAACCTAACTTAGGGTGCTAGACAGATAAAAGTTGATTGATTTTCTAATTGATGGGGTTTAAAAAAGTCTGGGGAAAAACGATGTAATTCTAAAAACGATCTTTTTCAGAAGGCCCCCTGAAAATTGTCAATAATTATGAACTTTAATATCTATCCTTTTTTAAAAACACATTTTTAAGTCAGGATAAAATGTCTCTGTCTCTATAATATTCAGTCACAAAGAACTGAAGCATTTTTAAGTCCAGAAGCTCCAAGTAAGCTACAGTTAAAAGACATTTTCTAAAGTAAAAAGTATAACCACAGGTCACATTCTCTTATAACAATAAATCCATAATAAAAAGACTATTAAGTCATATCTAATAGTCTAGTATCAAACAAAACCCAATAGCACAAAATCTCACTCATACAATGAAAGCACATGGACATTCCTTGAAATGCCTTATAATAGAATTTGATCTCTGTTAACTCAATCTAAGTTGCCATTTTTGCTTTATCAAGGAATCACTTCCATTAATAATAGACTGACAGTGTATTACTTGCAAGTTGATGATTACATGAGCTGGAATGTCAATGAACAAAGCTGGTCAAATTCATGATGTTCTCCCATCATAACTTGATCTTCATTAAGATGATTTATCCATTCTGAATATGTTCATTTTTTTCATTAAAACCTCCCCATAAGAAAGAGGAAACTTCATTTTGAAGTTAACCAAGCTAAGTGAACATGGAATAATTCAGAAGATTTTTCCAAGGTATCTTATTACTGCCATTACACATGGACACACTAAAATTCTTGATGTTCCACTGCTGTTTCACTGTCCATTTGCTTTTGTTTTTGGTGATCTCTACATCTGAGATAGAAATGGTCCATAACAGAAGTCAAGGTCTGGAGGAAAAATCATGGTTGGTGATAGAAAACAAATAGACTGAGGCATCTCTGTAGAATTTAGTGAGATCTGATCTAGTAAAAAATATCTTTTTTTAATAGTTTGACTAATAAAGGCTTCCTGAACAGAAAACTAAAGTCAACTCCTGATTTCAGATCCAATGTATAATCCTCTCCATGAGTGGAGGCTGAAACTACCCTTGGGTAAATCATAGTTGTCATAGTGACAGTAAGATTCTCAACGACATCACAACAGCCTCATTATCATGTGGGCATTGACTTTGCTTGGGAAAAGAAGCCAGCATTAGTTAGTTAGGAAATGTAGGAAGAAAGGACAGCTCAAAAACTCTTCCTCCCAAATAAAATTTCTTTTGTGACTATGGCAAAGGCCTACTTAAAATCTAGTTTTGGAATAGCATCTACCTAAAAACTGATGCAAAGAGTATAGCAACACCCCTTTTCTAATTTAAGGAAATGAAGATATTTTACTAGATTTATACTGCACTCTTTTAATTATACACTAAAGTTAAATTCCAGTAACTTCTCTCCCTGATTTTTCACTGAAAAAACCAGGGTTTGCATTAGACTAAGGTGATAACCAAATAAAATAGGAATAGGAAAAATAGAAATGAGAAATTTTAGTATGAGATTTAATTAACCACAGATACGTTTCCTAGCCTTTAAGTTGGGCTCAAATTTGTTACAGTGTTTCTCCTACAATCTTTGTTCATAGCATCTTCTTAATGATGGAGCTGCTTCTAAAAGAGAAGTTTATGAAGCTTCTAGAATTCTTTGTCCTTTGGTGTGAAAAGACAACATCCAAAGTATTTAATGCTATGTAGATTCCAATGTACTCCTCCATCCAGTTTAATCTGCCACTAGTCACTGGAAGTATCCCTTTAATTTCTTTTTCTGCAATGACAAATCTCATGAATTTCTAACCTTAACTCTTCATACAAATAAAATCCAAGGCCAATTCACCTTTATTTTCTTTCTCTTTCTATAAACATAAAAATGCTCAAATATTCATGAGCTAATAACCTCGAAGTAAAAGGCTAATGAAAAACATAATTAATTATCCTGTTGTGCTTGAATTCAGTTAGGTTTTTTTCTGTCCTAAGTTGCTCCCTTATGACAATATAAAATTCTAAAAGATTCTAGATTTTAGTTAAATAACATATGAAATAATCACATTACCTGGAATGCTTTATTCTTCTCTTCTTTCTGCTGTTTGTCTACCTCCACATGGCGAGCTAGACGAGCTAGAGTTAAAGCAACTCTGTCCTTTTCCTGGTCAACATAGTCTTTACTTTTCACTTTTTCCTGTAATTTAAAGGGCAATGATTCATTTAGACTTTTTTTAAAGTGCAGCTATAGTTAAAGAATTTAATTTACTTTTATCAGTAGCAATAACAAATTTTTCAGTGCCTACTACTACGTGTGTGGCACTATATTAAATTCTATGATAATTTTAGAGAACAATCATTAATAGTAAGTTAAAAGTTATCCACTTGTATCATCTTCAGTTCTCTGAAGGAGAATATTAACATGTTAGCAAGTAAAAAGTTATATTTAGCTACTTCAAGGTAATACAGATATGGAAAAGTTTTAGGCTGCTTTTGCCACAGGTTGACCTGGCAATGTCATCAAACAGAATTCCATAGAAGAATCTTCTTGTATAAAGGTCCCCTCGCCTCTAGTTTCTCAACTGCTGCCAGGAAGTTAGATAATGAAGTTAGGTATAGAACATAATCTCAGAAAATCCTTTATAAAAAGCCTTTTTCAAATGAACAAAGTTCACTCAGATAGTCAGTTCTGAATGACAATAGTTATTTAACTTGCAGTCCTTCAAGCGACAAATTGCACCCTTCCAATACTAAAGATCAAAGATCAAATTGTATAGTAAGGAAAGGAAGGGGTATAATCTGTATAAAAGCTAAGCATTACTATGCTTTCCCATGGTCTTTAGTGTAAGTTCTTAAAATAATTTTATTTAAAAGGATTCTCATACAAAAAAAGACTGGACACGAAAGTCTGGTTCTCGTTAATGTACTTGCCAAACAAATAAAACTGTCCAGGTCAGAAATTCTTGTAGTCATCTACAGTCAGAAATTGGAAAGGTATTGTTATATGAAGGTTACAGGTAACTCTTATCGGGGTTTTAATTTGAAAACAAAACAAGTAGGAGAATGCTTGTAACTTCATCATCTATGAGGCTAAATGAAAGCCTAGAGCTGCTATTAAGGATTTTTACAAGATCAAAAATTAAGGTCAGATTCAAAAAAACATAAGTAGCATAATATTGATCAGTTAACCTCTTATCATTTGCCAGACTTTCTGTTCTCAAAATCTTTCAGATAGCAAGTTTTCATTTGAGTCTCAGGGATAAAAGATGAGACCTAGCTTAGCTATATACCCTTTACTTGTAACTTCTACCAACAAGATCTAAAACTCCGAGCTGTGAGCTCTTCTACCCAGCGTGCACTTGCCTCCCCCCTGCCTCCAGGTGTGGCACCACCTTCTCTCTATCTTAAGGGTTTAAACTTGCTACTTCAAAGTTCACCACGAATGATGATATTGCTGCTCTCATTGTTGACAATGGCTCTGGAATGTGCAAAGCTGGCTTTGCAGGATACAATGCCCCTTGGGCTGTCTTCCCTTCCATTGTTGGGTACCCCAGACATTAGGGTGGGTATGGGCCAGAAAGACAACTACATGCCGGATGTCATGCCCAAAGCAAGGGATGTATTCTGACCCTGAAGTACTCCATTGAACATGGTATTGTCACCAACTGGGGTGACATGGAGAAGATCTGGCATCTTACTTTCTACAATGAGCCCTGTGTGGCTCCTGAAGAGCACCCTGTGCTGCTTACAGAAGAACCCCTGAACCCCAAAGCCAACAGAGAGATGACACAGACTATATCTGAGACCTTCAACACCCCAGCCCTGTACATTGCCATCCAGGCTGTGCTGTCTGTGCATGCCTCTGGTCATACCACTGGTATTGTAATGGACTCCGGCGATGGTGTGACCCACATTGTGCCCACCTATGAAGGTTATGCCCTTCCCCATGCCATCCTCCATCTGGATCTGGCTGGCCATGATCTAATGGACTACCTCATGAAGATCCTGAGAGAGGGTACAGTTTCACTACCACAGCTGAGAGGGAAATCATGCGTTACATCAAAGAGAAGATGCATTATGTCACCCTAGACTTTGGGCAGGAAATGGCTACTGCTGCATCTGGCTCCTCTCTGGAAAAGAGCTATGAGCTAGCTTCCTGATGGTTAGGTTATCACCACTGGCAATGACAGGTTCCAATGCCCAGAAACTCTCTTCCAACCATCTTTCTTAGGTATGGAATCCATGAAACTACCTTCAACTCGATCGTAAAGTGTGATGTTGACATCCACAAGGATTTGTATGCCAATACCGTATTGTCTGGTGATACCACCATGTACCCAGGCATTGCTGACAGGAAACAGAAGGAAATTACAGTCCTAGGTCCCAGCACAATAAAAATCAAGATCACTGCCCCACCTGAGCGCAAATACTCTGTTTGGATTGGTAGCTCCATCCTGGTGTCTCTTTCCACCTTCCTGCAGATGTGGATCAGCAAGCAGGAGTATGACGAATCTGGGCCCTCCACTGTCCACCGAAAATGCTTCTAAATGGACTGTTTGAGTTTTTGGGGTTTTTTTTTGCTTTTGCTTTTTGTTTGTTTGTTTTTTTTGTCAAAGGGTGTGACATGATAATCCCCCCCCCCCCACAAAAAAAAGAGAGATGAGACTGGCATGGCTTTGTCTTTTTTTGTTTTGGGGCTCTTGACTCAGGATTTAAAAACTGGAATGGTGAAGGTAATGAGCAGCCTAAGTATGTTGGAAGCAAACATCCCCAAAGTTCTATAACATGTCTTCAGGACTCTGATTGTACACTTGTTTTGTTTTTTAAATAACCATTCCAAATATTGTGTAATACATTGTTACAGAGTTACAAGCCTTTATGAAGGCTCTCCTCTGCTAGAGCAAAGGAGCTACGTAACAAAATTCCAGATGGGGAAGGGAGGAGGGGGGAAGGTACTAGTATTGCTTTACATGTAAATTATGTAATCCTTAAAAAAAAGACTCTTTGTATCTTCCGCCTTAATACTCGTTTCTTTTTTTTTTTAATTGTAAGCCATAATGAATGGCCCCTTAAATTCCCTTCCTGCCCCCAACATAGGTGTGAATGAAGACTTCACAGTCTCCCTGCAAGTTTTATGAGATTGGTGCCAGTACTTGGGGGAGGAGAGAAGCTTTACCTGTACACTGACTTAAGACCAGCTCAAATAAAAGTGCATACGTTAAAGAAAAAAAATAAAAGATCTAGAGCTCTGAAGTGCCACAATCCTTCAATTCCTTTCTGCTAAATCCTTCTTCTGTCTTCCTATGATTTTTAATCTCTTCACCCTTCCTACTTTTCACAATCCATAGTCAGCTCGGTCCCAGCAGTAGCATCCAGCCAACCCTCAACTTCAGATTATACCCACCATCCTAATTCATCCTACATTTCTATTCATGTGCAGGTCATAGCTGGAGATGGTTTGGGGTTCTACTACTTTACATAATCTAATGTTAATTGGGCCCTTTCAGCTATAAGACCATCCTTTCACACTTATCACACTTCAATCTTCTACATCTCCTTCCCCAGCCCAGATGACAGATGAGCTACCTAGCCTTCTACTTGCCTAAAAAAAAAAGTGGCCATTCATAAGGAGTTTCTCCTTCGCCTTCACTCCAAATTTGTTACCTTCTTTAAAAAGAAATTTAATAATGCCTTATCAATTTTATTTTCAAAAGCCAGCCTGGAATTTTGGCTATTCTTTCCATTTTTTTTCTATTTTATATTGCAATAATTTCTTACATTTTATGTGTAATGTACCTTATTTAAAATATTTTGTTGTTAATGATTTCTTAAGAGGCAGATATATGGCTTAAGTGGAGCAAATTTTGGCCTGGAGTCAGGAAGAATTGAGTTAAAATCTTGCCACAGACACTTCCTAGCTGTGTAACCCTGAAAAGTCATTTAATCTATCTACCTCAGTAGCTTCAATTGTAAATTGGTATAACAGAACCTGACTTTCAGAGAGGTTGTGAGGAGTAAACAAAATAATATTTGTAAAGTATTTAGCATACAGTAGGTAATAAAAATAAAGGAAAATCATTCAAAATTTTAAAAACTAAGAAAATAAGGATTACTAACAGCAATAGCTAATAAATTTGGAAACTTGACATTATATGTATAAAAAGCCAAAATTAAACAACAGGAATAAACGAACTTTGCGGGAGGGCAAAATCAGGCAGACCATTAGGAATCTGTCCTATTCAAAAAAAAAAATTAAGCCAGACAAATTATTGAATTAGTTTTTTCAAATCTTTTAAGAATAAATAATCCCTATGCCACATGGATGGAAGCAGCAGAAGTCAGACAAGGAAGAGGATTCACATCATCATATAGATGTCTGAACTAAATTGGAGAGATATTAAGTCTCAAGGCACTAAAGATACTAGAGGGCCTATGGTTCCCAAGACTCAACAGAACAGAAACGGAGTGCTTATTCCATATGTGGAATGAATTAGGAGTATGCCTCATCCCCTTGTCACTTTGGAATTTGGCAAATAACTGGGAGTGTGGGGTGAGAGTGAAGAATCAATGATGACACTGAAATTGCACAACTGAGTGACTAGAATGATAGAGCTGTCTTCAACAGTAATGGGGGAGTCTGGATGAGAGAAGGGAGTTCTGCTTTAGACCTCAAGACATCTCTAACATTGTCCCCATTTTCTCTTTTCTTAGTCTATGGGGAAAAGGTGGCGCTTCTTACTTGTGTTCTTGACCCATCCCTTCTGGTCCAGGAAATCACACTGAATCACCAAATTTCAGAATTTGAAGGGACTTCATTAATCATTAGTCCAATCACACCTGAAAAAGAATGCCCACTACAACATACCCAAAAAGTGGTCATTCAGCATTTGCTTGAAAACCTGCAATAAGCGGCAAATCATCATTTCCTGAGGCAGTATGTTCCACTTTTAGATAGCTGAAATTATAAGAAAGTTTCCCTTACATTAAACCTAACACTTTCTTACTTTCAATTTTCATGCACTGCTATTCTCTTGGCCCTCTGGAGCTAAGAACAGGTTAAATCCTTCTTTTCATATAATAGCCTTTGAAATAGTGGAAGACAACTACTACAGTTCCCTCTCTCCCTCCTTCTACCACCAAATCTTCTCTACAAGCTATATATCCCTAGCTTTTTCATCAAGCTTCATAAGGCAATGG